CCCACCAGCCACTCCTCGGAAGGAAGGTTGGGCAATCCTACTTCCGTAGTGATACTGCCTCAGAAACCCAAGGAGGGGTCACTATGAGTCGGGACCGACTCGACGACGGCACATAACAACAACATCCTTCATTTTAGGAGCTCTGGTAGCATAGTGCCTAAGGCATTTGACTGCTAACCAGAAGGCTGGTGGTTCAAAACCAACAGCCACTCCTGGGAAGGAAGATGAGGCGATCTACTTCCATGGTGATACTGCCTTGGAAACCCAAGGAGGGGTCACTAGGAGTCGGTTCCGACTCGACGGCACATAACAACAACAACATCCTTCATTTTAAATTATCTAGATATTTTAGGCAAAGGTAATTTCTAAATTTCTGTATGTTCTTAGATACACACGATTAAAAAGACACAGCCTCTCTAAGTCACACAGACATACTCGAATACCCTTTGTCCTGACCTTCCATGGGCCTTACCTGACATCCAGGGCCTACCCAACAGAGCTTTGCTGTGTCATGCTGCCATGGTGCTGGGAGGGGTGGAGGGATGAGGGGGTCATAGAAGGGAATGGAAGCTTTCAGGTTTCTCATCATATGTGCCTCACCCTAACCTTGGATTTCCCTATTAGCCATGTCCTTCCCCCACCTATTTCACTACGCTGCAAATAAACATTCCTTTTCCAGAATCTGCTCCCATACCTAACTCCATGACTGTACTGATTTCAATATGGATTAGGCAGTTTTCCAACAAAGAGGCCCCCACTTTTCCTACCACAACCTAGGTCTTTCTTTGGAGCAAAGGTTTGAGAGGTTTGAGATAAAGAAGACCATTAAAAGATCAGGATTACTCTAAATATTATACCATACCCCTCCCTGCCAAAATACCCTCCCCTATGTCGACAAGTAAGTTTGGGGGTGAGGGTAGTAACATCAATGAAACCTTAAGAGAGAGAAAAAATTGGAAATATGGATTAGTAGAGGCTAGAGTGACACAGTAAGAATAAAGATTGGTCACAAATCAGGTAGATAAAATTATAATTGCTTAAAAATGAAAATATAATTAGATTGAAGAACAAAATACAGACAATGAATGATAGAAAAATAGCTACTTGAAATGAAGTAAATACTGAGAGATGATAACTACATATAAATGGTTAGAAATTACTATCTCTTGTAAAGGACAACAAGGCAAGGATGGAAATCTTAGAGGTGTAAAACGGTGATCAAATAATTACCTATTGTTCAGAGCGCCCCCATGTCTCCTCTTGAACTGTCCCCCAACCTCATCTTCATTTGGGGTTCTCAACCTAACCATAGCAAGCTGTTCTTCTATCTTTGCAACCCCTCCCCTTTCCCTTCCTTCAGTTTACCTGTTATCAATGAATTACTAGCGTGTTCCAAAGGTAGAGGTAGTGCCTCTGGGGCTCCGAGATTTCTCTGGCCTGGAGAAAAAGAAGGCTGTTGGGTCTTTGATGGCTTTGTCTTCTCACTCTCGCTCTTCAATGACTGAGACTGTCTGCTCAGCCTCCCCCTGCAATGCAGCCCCTCCTAAAGAAGGGCGGAAGGACTCCCCGCCCCTGCCTCCTCCCTGCCTGACTCGGCTAATTCAAATGATAGGTTCCAGAACACTTCAGGGAGGAAGAGGATGAAAGCACACCCGTAGGCTCACTGGTCTGGGCAATTAATATTATTCCCGACCTCTACCAGCATCCTCATGCTGACTGGGGTGCAATGAATGAGTAGCTGTCTTTTGCTTTAATCTTAGGTTTATGGATTAAAAAATCTTAATTCTGTGGACAATGGAAAGTGTTCCTTTCCTCCCCAGTTTAAGTATTTCAGATTATGAGGTAGATCTGTAAGAATCAAAACATTCTTCACTGGTCCCCCTAACCCCTACCCTTCCCTCCTTGACCTCACAAATAGGTAACTAAACCTAGCCCTGCCACATTTTGGGTAGAGCACAGAAGACTGGGGTTTGTACAAATCTCGGCTAGGTTGCCTCTGGGGGATTTGGGGCTTCGCTTCGTTTTGCCCCGCAATTGCCTGGCACTCAAAGGGAAGGTGCGATTCCCAGGAACCCAGTTTAGATGCCAGACCCTCGTTGAGGTGCCCACATCGTCCCGCTCGCCCCACAAGGGCGGCGGCATTCGGGGGTCTCAACGGGCCTCCTCTGAGCTCCTCGACTGTGCAGCCTCCAGTTGGTTCATGGAGGAGCCGTGCGCGCGGTGCGGAGCCGCACGGGTTTCGTAATCGCGTCGCTGCTGTTTCCGCCCTCCGCCAGCCACACCTCTGCCGGCCCGCCCTCGGCTCCCCTACTGCGCCGAGAAGGGAGCCCGGGAACCACACACTGGCTGGCGCTGAGCGGAGACCCCCACCAGCTGCAGCTGAACGCATCGATGCCCGAGGAGAGCAGGTGAGATCATCAAGTTTGTGCCTCTGGTTCGTCCGCCCCGCCTTCACTGCTCCGCGGAGACACACCGGATGTGGAGGTGGGGGAGGGAGGGTGGCCAGGGCTTTGGAGATGCTGGGTCGGTGGGAACAAGGGTGCCTCGCTTAGTAACAGCTCCCATCCGCGCTCGGGCGGTGCCCAGGCTGCGGCCGCGAAAGAGAAAGAAGGGACTGGAGTGTTGAGAGGAAGAGAAGGTCTCCTCTGAGCCTCACCAACTTCGGTGGCGGCGTGTGCCAGACACAGTGAAGCAGCTGGGTCCTGGAACGTTTACGTCACTGAGGCAGCCACGGGAAAGAGTCCGAAAGATCCAAAGAGAGGTCCCAAACCGAGTTCAAGGTTGGGAGAAGCAGATAATTTCTAGGTAGATATGGCGGGGGGCGAGGGAAAGACAGAAATGGAAACTATGTGACTGAATATTTTGGGATGGAGGAGCTTAGAGTCTGGTTCCGTTTCCTCGTAAGCCCCCACAGGCCCTTTCCTAGGGAAGGGCACGGTTGGTGCAGGGGCAAATGCCTGTCACTTTGCTGAAACGTGGGGTCCAGCCCCCCTTCTCTAGAGTTCCTCAGTAGTCCTCCATGTCCCGAGGGACATGTCACGGGGGACCAGCTGCAACCCTGGGCTTGAAGCCAGAATTGCCCACTCCATTTTTTCAATTCTCTTTCTCTCCAGCTGCTTCTTGTGAAGGCTTGTCAGGCAGCGGTTGGAGGCCTTGGGGCGGGAGGCAGGGGGACCGGGAAAACCGGTTTGGTACTAGAACCGGACCTGGGAACTACCTTTGTACATCCCTGCTTCCTGGAAACCCTACTTGCATCCTTTCTCCTGCTCTCCCCCCTCAACAGCTCTGAGGCCTGGTGGCCGGGTCACCTTGGATGCCTGGGTTTCCCAAAAGAAAGCCTAGCTACTTCATTTTCATTTTCTCATAGAGGGAAGAAAAACTTGGTATTGGGCTGGGATCCAGTGCCTGAGTCCTCTTAAGCCCTAGTGTGACCTTGATAGAGGTGGGGAGTTTCCTGGCTCTATATTTCACTCTTCCTATTTGAGAGAAGCTGAGTTCTCAGCACTACTTCGCTGTCAGAACGTGACCTTGTGTGCTCTTTCCTGATCTTTTCTGTTGTTTTCCCAGCCCCTTCTCTTTCATTCTAGGCTTGAAATAGTGGGTAGTGGGTTTGAGTGCTTCTTCCTCCTGAATTCACTAGCTCAGACTCATTTTCCTTTGACCCACCCTTCTCTGGCTGCTTTAAAGGAGAGTGGCAGCCAATAGCTCTTACTTCCTTTTCTGGCCTTGTTTCTCTTCTGTCCCATTTCTACCCCTGCATTCACCCTGCCTTGTATTATTCTCCACACTCCTACCCCACCCCGAAGTTTTAGAGACCCTAATGTCCTGGGGAATGGAATTTCCTGGTCACGTCTCATCATCATTGGTCACTTCATGCCAAGTCCACACACACACTTTCCCTCCACCCAGCTCTGGCCAGATCCCTGGAAAATGAACAGAAAGGTCCTTGTTCCTTCCACTGCCCCTTTCCTTCTCTCTCCTTCTCCGCCCCCTTTTCTGTCCTCTCCCCTCCCAGCACCATCCACCTCTGTCCACTCAGCTTTCAGCGGGGGTGGGGGAGTGGGGGGATGTTGGGGAAGAGCCCAGTTTCAGTATAGCCTATCTGGGGGTTGGAGGGTGGTTTCCTCCGATTCTTCATTGTTTTCTCCATTGCCCTGGCCCCAACCCTTACTATCCGCCATCATTACCATCATGACAAACCCTGTGACTGACTTCCCCACTGACCACAGCTCTCTTCTCTGGACAGCTGTGTTCTGACTTCTGCCCTGTCTGGTTACTCCTCTCCAGTAGTAGGAAGAGGGAAGTAAGAGAAAGCCCACACTCCTAGGTCCTTCCCTCTCCTAGAGGCTGTGTCTCAGTATTTATGTGATCTTACTTCAAGGCTGTTAAACATCTCTCAGTTCTTAGATCAGATCTTCGATCAGGGTGCCAGAGCATCAAAAAGGGAGATTCCTATTTGTGCTAACAGTGTAATATTAATGAAATTACCCTGTTTGAAATCTTTGAGGTTGCCTGGGAAAATGCAATGAATATAGAGGAAACTCAGATGGCTGGCAGTAGTGGGAAGGGGAGGAACTTCTTTCTTGGACACTAGTGCTATTGGAAAATTCCTTGTTTCTGGTTGGCTGATAAAGCTTGGGGGTGGAAGTGCTGAAGAGGGCAGAGAGAACAGGTCACAGCATGAAGGAAGAAGGGAGGGAGGCCGGGGCTGTGAGGCAGAGCAGGACACGATAGGACATGTGAAGAGGGTAGGGAGACTGGAAAAAGATTCCTCATGGGACAGAGGATTACTGGCACATGTACCTACTGTCTATACCCAGATGATCTATGTATAAGGTATACGTGGAGATATGGCCATGCACATATGTGCAAACAGATGTACATGCAGGAGGATAGTGATACAAGACAACAGATAAACAGTGTACACACAGCCTTCACCAAGAATCTCAAAGTCAAGTAACAAAGAAGTTCTGGTAGCTCTGGTGGTATAATGCCTAAGGCATTTGACTGCTAACCAGAAGGGTCGCAGTTCAAACCCACCAGCTACTCCTCGGAAGGAAGGTTGGGCAATCTATTTCCCCTTGTGATACTGCCTCAGAAACCCAAGGAGGGGTCGCTATGAGTAGGTCGACAGCAGTGAGTTTGGTTTTTTTTTTTTTTTTTAAACTGGCTTCTGGGCGGAGTTGGATCTCAGTAGAGGGGAATGAAGGGAATAAGGGGAGTGAACTGAAAGAGAGAAGACATTCCTCACTGTACAAAGTCTTTCTTAAGGTCCAACTTGCTACATTTAGTTTCCTAGGACATAGGTGGTCAAGGTCTCTCTTGTTCTTAAAGAAAATCTAGGTGTTCGGGGCAAGACAAAATGAAAGGAAAGGGCCCCACATACTCTAAGGTAATCACTTAGAGCAATAGACCACGGGACTCCAGAGGACTAACATTCAAATTGAGGAAATGCAGGATAAACAGGAGTGCATAAATACGAGGGGCACAGGGGGAGTATTACAGGGTAGGGAGGGGAGGAGACTGGGTTAGGGTTGGACATGGTAAAAGGAGAATGAAACTAAATGTACACGTAATGTTGAATGTAAAACAAGCTCTTAAAAAAAAAAAAAAAAATTTAAAAAAGGATGAAAGGAAGGGGCAGGGGTGGAGGCCTTGTTTGTGAAAATGAAAAACCACCATTTCCTCTTCAGTGATACTTATATGCCCCTCCCCTTCTACCCTAAACCCAGAGAGAAGGTAGCATCCCCAAACTTTGCTAATTTCTGCCACTATCCTTTGGTTCTCTCTCATCATCTTACCTAAGTGCTTCTAGCTCCCTTTTTCTCCTGTGGTACCACTGGCCACTGCTCCTTAACCCCTTGATGTCCTTCAGATTCTGTTCCTTTCCTGAGAGTCAAACTATGAGATCCTTATGTTTGAAGATTAGTACTGGGGTATAGAACTAGGAGCTCTGAGGGAGAGTTGGGAAGATGTGGGCTCCTCGGAGGTTTCTCAAGGGTGGGACAGATACTAATCTTCCTTCTGTCTCTTTTCTGCTAATCCAGGATTCCAAGTCTGAAGAAGACAACCTTGTGCCTGACTTCTCCACCCTGCTCTCTGGCTCTGTTAGTCTCTCAGGGTCTGAGACACCAACCTTCACTGATGAGCTGAGGGTTTCAAGGACTCCACTTTTTCTAAACCCATCTGGCTGAGTGAAAACAGCATATTGTCACACCTTGGGGGCAGTGAGGAGTGAGCAGCCAAGGCACTAGAACAAGAGCCCTCTGGGGCCTCAGGCAGAGGAGTGAAACTGGAACCATCAGGGAACATGAGTGAATTTTGGCACAAACTGGGCTGCTGTGTGGTAGAGAAGCCCCAGCCGGTGAGTCTGCCCACCCCCACCCCAGCACCACAGAAATCAGTTACCATATACTGTAAAGTAGACATACCACCTAGGATCTGCCATCTGAAAATCACACTTCTTGCTTGCTTCTCTGCCAGGATAGTTGCTAAGGCCAGGCAGGTGTGTACCTAGGATAAAGGGGGCTGGGTGATGGAAAGTGAGTAATTCTCACTGTCACCTCTTTTTCCAGTCTATTCTGAGTTGGGCAGGGATTGTAGGTGGAGATCAATGCCTATCACTTATCCCCATTGTTTCCTCATCAGCCAGAGGTGACTTTGACTTGCCCTTACTTTGTCCAGTATTCACTTTGCAGGCTACTCCCCTCACCACACTGGTCCACATCCTCTTTGTGTTTATGTTGTTCTAGGTTTGCCTTTCACACTCTTGTGATTTTTTTCTATTATAATGCCACATTCTCTTCTACCAGAAGACCTTTAGCTCTTCCCCAAGTGACTTCTAAGCCTCTTTTCCTTCATTGTGACTGAAGAATGGGATTTCAGACATGACTGTCCTGTTTTCTTCAAACAGAAGAAGAGGAGGAGACGGATTGACCGAACCATGATTGGGGAACCAATGAATTTCGTCCACCTGACTCATATTGGCTCTGGGGAGATGGGGGCCGGAGATGGACTTGCCATGGTAATAAGGAAATGAGAGCTTGATGTGGAGGCATGGTCTAGAACAATTCTCCTTTTTGAAAGGTCAAGCAGGGAACAGAACAAAATACTCAGTGGGGAAGCAAGAATCTGGGATTCTAGTCCTGGTCACCAGCTACATGACTTTAGACCTGGCATTTCAGGTCACTGGGCCTGGGTTCCCTCATCTTTACAAGTAGCAGATTATTCGTCATTGGGGTGTTCCTCTCTTCTCGCAATTAAGAACTGCTGTCTCAGTGCCATGGGAGCTCTGGTGGCATAGTGCATTTGACTGCTAACAAGAAGGCTGGCGGTTCAAACCCACCAGCCACTCCTCGGAAGGAAGAATGGGCAATCTACTATCGTAGAGATACCGGCTTGGAAACCCAAGGAGGGGTTGCTATGAGTTGGAACTGACTTGATGGCAGTGAATTTGGTTTTTTGTTTGAGTCTCAGTGCCACAGTAAGTCATGTTGTGATAGGGAATGTTGGGATAGGAAGGGGCTGAGCACTTCTGTCCTAAATAATGGCCAAGATGCATTTCTACTCTCAAGGGAAATCAGAGTGAAGAAGGAATCTTTTTTTTTTTTTTTTAACATTTATGAAGCTCAGGTAAATACACGAGAATCCTTTATGAAGGCTTTTAATAATAGAAGGCCTGTTTTAGCTCATCCTAATAAAGGCCAGTGTGTGAAGGGAGACATTCCTCCCACCTTCCGTGGGAGGAATGGTGATTAGTTTTAATCTTTTCAAGTTGATTTTATTGTAAAAGAGATGGGGGTCAACCCTTTTCCTGGAGGGCAAAAGGAGACCTCTGACTGTGGGATATGGAATATAAAGTCTCACATGTGCTTTTTCACAGACAGGTGCAGTTCAGGAGCAGATGAGATCCAAGGGAAACCGAGACAGGCCGTGGAGCAATTCTAGGGGCTTGTAGCTCCAGTAGAAACGGTGAGTGATTAGAGAGACCCACTCAACACATCCAGCCCCTGGTGCTCTGGTGCAAGAATGGCAGGTGAAGAGGAAAAGAGAATTAGAGTGGAGAATTTAAAAATGTAGGCTCCAGAAAGGCAGAAAGAGGGAGTTGTGCAGATAGAAAAGAGCACACTGTGGAAAGAGTTCAGAGTCTGTACTAGGTGATACCTTCTTTATAAGGCCTCTGTTTTGAGGCTTATCTTTCTTTTTTTTTTTTTCATCCAGGTTCTGCCGTCTCGAAGTCCCCACTCTTGTGTCCAGCCCAGAAGATATGCTGCCCCTTCCAGATCCCTCCTAGAACCAGTGACTCCAGGGTCCCTTTTTTTCCCTATATGTGTAACAGTGCCTCAGAACGCTTGGGGGCTGGACTCCCTCAATTCCCTCTGGCGATAGCCCCTCCTGGAGATGGGGTCAAGGCAGCAGGACTGACCAAGTGACTACTGGTTGGCCAGAGGATCTCAGCTAAAGCCCTGGACACCCTCAGATCTGAGATAGGAGTTCTCTGAGAACCTGGGATGAGTTCTAGTCTCCTGGATGATGGTCTTGGGTGCCAGCTGTTTTTAAACTCTTAACCTGGAACTCCTTAAATGGGGATAGGGGGTTGAGATTAACAAAGCTGAGGGCAGCTTTGCTAAGAAGCCCCTACCTCTCTACACTTCCCTTTTTCCCTCCTGTAGTGAACTGAAGCAGATACCAGGCAGAGACTGAAAGGGTGACTGCTGTTCAGTCTGTTTTTCCTCTTCAGATTTCAGACCTTAAGCTCACAGTCCCTCAATATCTCTCTGCCAATACCAGGGTCTTTCTCTAGTTAGGCCTCTAACCTTGTATTTCTGTAGCATTACTAGCTCCCCAGCAACTCTTTTTAATTAATTAAGAAATTAATTTAAGATGCATTTTCTTAATTACCCCATGCTACTGCTACCTCTGTCGTTAACCCCAGCTCTGTTAGGAGTCTTAGTTTTCCACTGAATAAGAGTTAAGAGATGAGTCTTAGTCTCATGACATTCCTTTCACCTATTTAAGTCCTGGGTATCTGGCAGCCTCCTCTGCCAACCTCCCTGCTGGCCCAGGTGAGGGGAGGAAGAGTGTGGAGAGAAACCCAGAATACAGCAAAACTGGGATTTATATCTCAGGGAGGATTTCCTGGCCATTGAGGATAGGAGGGGTGGTGAGAGAAACAGGTTGAAAACAAGCACCTGTGAATTTAGTTGTCTGAAGATTCTCACAGCATGGGAACAGGGAGAGGCTCTAGAGCAAGGTTTCTCAATCTAGGCACTTTGGACATTGTGGGCAAGATAATTCCTTGTAGTGGGGGCTGTCATCTGTCATGTGCATGGTAACGTTTCTGGTCCACTGTCATTTTGACAAGCAAAAATGTCTCCAGGCATTTCCAAGTTCCCTTGGGGGCAAAAACCGCCCCCAATTGAGAACTGCAGCTCTAGAGTCTTGATGTTTTTCTCTTGGTTTCTACAGTACCACCCCATCCACATCCCCTTACCCATCCTAAGGCTGAGCCATGGATGAGCTAGGACCTCTTGTAAAGCAGGGCCAATAGTGGTGCACATATCTCCAAATAATTTTTTATTCAGTATCTTGTGTGTGCTTGCATGAGTTTGTGTCTCTGTTACAGACATGTTCTCCATCTTGCTTTCTGGAGGAGAAGTTTCTGTAGTGTGGACATGGGAACAGGGTATGGTGGAATTGGAGAAGAAATAAGCAATAGTACTGGAGACATCACAGCTTGTCCTCCCCAAATTTAAGCTCTATTTCTGTACCTTAGTCCTAGAGCCAGACATGGATAAGACTCAGGGAGTTTTGTCTGAAGACCAGGTCCCAGTCCTCACCCGGTTGAAGAGTCTCCTTTAGGTGAGAAAGCAGTGTAGAAGCAGGGTATTTAGGCTGCTGCTTTCAGTTTTATCAAGGGTTACTTGTTCTGGCTCCTTCCTTGCAGAGTGATTAGGAAGGCAGAACAAGACAAATGAGCTGTTTACTAAGACAAGGTGGGTCTCATTAGCTCTGTAATAGGAAACACCTTGTTTTGTAAGTAGGTGGGAGTCAGGAACATAGAAACTGGGGTCCACTTTGCTGATTCCATCATCTATCCAGTTTTCCCTCACACTGGTTGAGGTTTTAATTTTTCCAAATTTCAATGTACTTTTTCAGGGTCTAAAATTGGTAATGCAGATACATCCCCAGTTTACTCCCAGTTCCTGTCAAGAGAGTTGCTCTGAGAGCATCTGACTACTGCCCTAAGTGGCTCAGTAGCTTGAGAGTTATATCTGAAGGATTAACAGGACAGAGTAGGCCTTCTAGGATTCTCTGGTCATTCTGATCTTCCCTCTAATACCTGTTCTTTGGACACAATCTTCTCTTTCCCTTGGTGCGCTCTTGCCTTTAGCTGCCTTCTCTGATGTGTATGCTACCATCACTGCAACAACTTAAGGGTGATGGGAATGGGTTTGAGAGTCATAATTTATATTAAAAATTGTTGGACTTTTAAATACATTTTTCAAATAAAAAATTTTTAAGCAAAGGACTTGCAGAATGATCACTACAGGTGTATAAAGAACAGATACAACTGATAAACATAATTCCTTAAAAGTGGCAGAGATGGAATTTTGTACCAACATTGCCTTTCCTGAGGAGGGTCAAGCACTGCAAAGGCAAGGAGAAGACCACTATCTTTGAAAGACTCCTTGTTTTTCTTATTATCTTTTCTTGGTGTTTTTCTGAGATTTTTTCATCTTTAAAGAAGTACTTGTTTAAAAACAACTTTGGAAATGTGGGAAATGACCAACATCACTTTATCCTAGGGAAGGAAGTAGGGGACCAAGTGAGATATTACTAGCTACCCAGTTCAGTTTTGAAGTTCAAGAGATTTACGGTCTCTTCCCTCTGATACCTCGGTAAAAAGACATGAGACCAAACAATGCATTTTTCAGTTTTGTTTTTCTGTACTGAAAATATCTATGGGTGCTGGGGTTGAAAGGGGAGGAGAAGCTGAAATGCTGACACCTCCTCTTCCTGTGGGTGAAGTAGCGTTTACCTCCGGTTTCTCTCTGTCTACGTGAGGAAGAAAAATAGAGAAAAGGGACAAATTACAACACATCTACATTCTTTCCCTTTCTTGCTTTGTTCCCCTCTCCCACATACCCCTGTTCCCTCAACCCTACTTCCCTTCTTGGGCACAAGGAGAAAGGCGGAAACCAGCAAAATGACCAAGGATGCCACATTTTATTGCTCTTTCCCCTCCCCAAAGATCCTATCATCCCTGTCAATGGAGAATGTTTTATCAGGTCAATCAGAACCTTCAGGAACTCTTGGTAAAGTAGAGGACTGCCCTTCCGAGTCGATGGCACACAACAACAACAAAGCCCTTCACTGAGAATTCTTAAGTTGCTGGGAAGAATCCCAGAATAGTTACTTGGGATGCATAGATTGGTGTTAAAAGCATAGGCTTTAGTATTGAACAAACTTGGGTTTGAATCCCACTTGGGCTCTGTTACTTCCTGGCTTTGTAAATGTATTCCTTTTAACCCTCAGTTTTCATCTATAAAGGGATAATGCCTCATCCAGTTGTTACGTAGGTTGATTCAGGTAAAGTTCACCTAGTAAGACCTCAGATATTGGCTTACTGTTGTTATGTGCCATCGAGTCAGACCTGACTCATAGCGACCCCTCCCTTGGGTTTCCGAGGCAGTATCTCTACGGAAGTAGATTGCTCAACCTTCCTTCAGAGGAGTGGTCAGTGGGTTTGAACTGCCAGCCTTCTGGTTAGCAGTCAAGTGCCTTAATTTACTATTAAGCTATACTAATTAGCTGAAAACGAACTGATTAATGAAATAATCTTTTCATATCCACTAATTACGCATTAAGAAGTCTTTATATATCTACAGTCTTAACTCTTTGGTCAGTTATCATCTAATGACCAATAACACATGTTGACTAATAACCAAGCAGCAGTTAAGAAATAGGATGAAATTAGTCCACAACAATGTGAATAACCAGTGCCAAGTAAGTTAGAATAACCAGGTACTGCAAATAAGTTAGAAATTCATGCAAGCACACTGGCTGGCAACAGGGTGTTAGATACAAACTTCAGATCCATCAATGAATACTTACTGGTTGCATCTCTGTGAACACTGAGGAGAGGCTGTTCCAAATATCCTCCAGCCCAATCCTGACCCGTTTCCAAAAAGCAAGAGCGGGGCTGGGGCTGGGGCTGAAGCTGGGCACGCGGCTGGTGGGCATGCGGCTGGTGCTGGACTGAGAGAGGCAGTTCTCACAGAGACCTGTGTCCAGGGGGCACTCTTCCCGATCCCGATCGCAGGGACATTGCTGGTAGGTGCAAGGTCGGTGCTCCGAGCGGATTTGACTAAGTGCCCCAGCTCGGAGGCGCCCCGACAGGCCCTGTAGTTTCCCCGACCGGGTCCGGCTCATGGTGCCCGACTTGCAGTGGCAGTGCCACGGGCCCCAGGGCATCAGCACTAGCCGCAGATCTTCCGCAGGCGGCATGGCTGTAGGAGAGGGTGGCGGCCACCGGTTCGGGGTGGACCCAGGTGTCGACCACTGGCTCAGGGTGAGCTCCGAGTCCTGTGGCTCTATAGTAGACTTAAAGGTGGAAGGCATCATGTCTGTAGTCAACCTGATTTCCCTCTCCTGGGTATTCGCTGGAAATCTTGTGCTGGGAACCGTATTGTGAGTCTCCAGGTTGATGCCATTCTTTCTGGCATTAATCGAAACTTCCTCTTCCAAAACTCCTTCCTCCTCCCCGGTTCCGCGGGGATGGCTGACGCCTGTGGCCACCGAAGAGGCCAAGAGCTCGGCGGCGGCAGGGCCTGCCAGGTGGTCGGCGGTGGCCACTGCGTCTTCCTCATCCTCCAGAGTTACCGTCATCTTTCGCGGTCTGCCGGTCTGGCTGGTGGTCCGGTAGGTGCTGGTCATAGGGCCCCCAAAGCGGAAACTGACCTTCTGTAGCCCTGTCGGAGTTTGAGTCTGGTCTTGGGCCCCCGCCGCCCGGGACCCCAGACTCAGCAGCAGGGCGCAGAGCAGCGCGCCAGCGGCGGCGGGGACCATGGGGTTAGGCGGTTCAGGTTTGGGAGGGAGACCAGTGAAGGAAGCGCGGGTCCTATCTTTTCTTCCTCCCTTCAGCTCTCGACCCACTGGGTCGTTTGAACCGGAACCGCGGCCCGCGGGAGGGGGGGGGCGTGCCTCAAACGCGCGCGCCACGCTCCTTCCCCCCTCCCACCTCCGCGTGGACGCTCCCGCAGAGGCACGGGTCGAGCTGAAAATCTTAGGTGGCTTCTCCAAGATCTAGGTGGCAGAACTAGGGATGGATTGTGGTATACGGGGTTGGAGAAAGAGTCGTTCACTTCAAATCTCCTATCGCAGTTTATTAAAACATTACACATTTGAATTTACTAAAGGGCAAAAATACACCTTTGAAAGCACTCGTTCCCAGGTTTACAGGCGGCAGACGTGCCTAAGTAAAGCATGGTATACACCAGTTCTTCAAGAATGAGTGAACATTGCTATGGAGGGGCTCAGTACGGTGTTTCTTGCTGCGGACTGCAGGCAGGCTGGCTGGGGTCAGTTAAGCCCTGCTCTTCCTGTCCACCTCTCACCTCACCGGCTTGCTACAATTGCCAAGGTGGAAAGGATCTCAGCCCCTTCATTTACAGGAGGAAAATGAAAGCCAAAGAGGTGAAGTTACTTGCCCAAGTTTCCACAACTAAAGCAGGACCAAAACCGAGAGCTCTACAACTTTCCCAAATGCTTCTGTCACTACACTCACTGTACTACCCTAAAGCCAGCAGATGAGGTTCCAGAACTCAAAGCCCTGTTGTAGGGGGAGGGTCATGGGAGGGATGACACCCCATGGAGATGTGAAGATCCTGTAGCACTTTGGTTGAGGTTGAGACAATTTACAAAAGCTCAGATGTTTCAGGAGTAGGCAGATCACTCTGCTTGGTTCTAAGGTCCTTTATCCAGACCTGTGCTAGGTCCCTCTTGAACCATGGAGGCTTTGGTCCAGCCTAGGACAGAGAGAAAGAGAGAGAAGTGGTACAGGGGTAGGATGGCTTGGATCTACTCACTGGCTTTCCAAGAGAAGCTCGGTGAACTCCAAGACTCTTGGAAGACTGATGCTTGCAGTCATCACTTAGGATCTTTTGCTCCCTAACACCCCTCCCCCACCAAACACACTCCCCTATTCATTGCCAACACGGCCTGTCCTAATTTCTAGGGCTGGTCTGAATCTCCTCTAACCCTTGTGTTGTGATCATTCCTTTATTCCTTGACACTTCAGGACTTATATATATATAAGTTTTTGTATTTGTTCTTGTTAGATACACTAACATCTCATTTCTTCTCTGGGTGTGTGTAGTTTTCCCAGATACACTAAAGCATCTGGAAGCAGGGCTTCCTCCATCTTTTAGTTCTTTTGTTTCTCCCCTAAGGCATTAAGAAAGTGGGGACTGGCTTTACACATCCCACCCCTAACCTTCATCTTTAAGCTCAGGACTCACTGTTTGACAGCTTCGGGGATGTGGACCTGATCCAGGGAAAAGAGTTGGGCCAGTTCTCCCAGGCTGTCCAAAAACCGTATCTTTCGTGTGAATTTGGAACTGAAAAAAGAGGGTAAATTAATTGTGTTCTGTACTGGAGATTCTTTGCAAAGGAAAATGTAGGGAGTAGAGAGTAGTTAAGACTAGAAAGGATCAGGGTGGGGAAACATCTTCTTCATACTGATTTTTAAATTGGAAAAATAGTTGGAAGGAAGTCCTTGTCCCGAGAGCTAGTACCTGATGAAGGGCCGAAGCAGCGCCAGAAATGCCTTCACGTACCACGTAGCGTGGACAACCACCAGAGCTCGCAGATTTTTCCGGAGCCTAAAGAAGAATATCAGATTATCTTATTTCTTCCTCCCCCTCTTGCCTGAAGAACAAGTGAAGCATCTTCTGTACTGTAACTTCCTTTACATTCTCATTTCTAGATTTCTCTGGCAGCTTCCTTTAATCCCTATTCCTTTAGCTGTAATCTCAGCCCTACCCATCTTGTTTAACCCTCCATGCTCCACATTCTTTAAAAAAAACTCTTCTCCCAGGGTCCCTCAGCCGGGGCTTCTGTACCCCATTCACCATCTTGCCCTTCCCTCACATAATCTCCTTATTTCCTCCCCCATTCGTGTGCCTTTCTTTTCTTTTTTACTTTCTTTTGCACACTTTCCCATTCCTCTATGACAGGACTCTTTACAAACTCCAGATGGAAGAAGACCAATGAGGAGGAAAAAAGGAAAAAGGGCAGGAATAAAGAGAAAAGTGAGCGAAAGGAAGATGGGAAAACAAAGAAAAACAATGAATGTTAGTGGGGGGAAAAGGCATTATGGATCAGGGATGAAGGCAGAGAAGAAAAGAAGACAATGGAGATGTAGAAAGAGCAATCAATGGCAAGACTGGGAGAAAAGAAGAGTGCTTTTTGTGTGCAAGCAATGTACCACAGTGGTTTATTTGATTCTGTCAGGTGCTCAATGGCAAAGGTATTATCATGTCCATTATTGTTGTATGCTGTTGAGTTGATTTTGATTCACAGTGACTCTATAGGACAGAGTAGAACTGGACCATTTTACAGCTAAGGAAACTGTACCAGAGAAGTTAAGTGACTTGTCCATATAGTTAGTGGTAAAGGCAAGATTTGAAACCAGATTTCCCTGACTCTGAGAGAGAACAGAAGACAGAAGAGGGTTAGAAAGAGATGTAGAGGGACAGAGAAACAGAAAAAGGGACTAGACAGAAGAAGATAGAATGGAACAGTGGAAAAGAAAAAGGTGGAGAGTTGTGGCTCTCTCCTCTTAGGGTCTCACCGTCGATCCAGGGTATGGTAACACTGGCGTATCCAGCTCAGAGGTGGAACTTGGGCCCTACTAGTGCCTCCAGTTAAGTGAACAAGTAGGTAATTTTCAGCTACCAGTAGCTCCAGAGTTCCCACCATATACCTGGAAGGGATGAAATTGCCAGAGAAGATGTGTGTTTGAAGTTGCACAGAGTGAGAGAGATCGATTATTGTAGACTGATCTTGGAAGGCTTGAAAGGATTTTTTTGTGTGTGCTTTTCCCTCCCTAAAGTACTCCCTGTATCTCTTCAGGCCTTTCACGTCACCTAAATAAGTGTTCCATGATATAGGTGTAGTTGGGAATGCTGCTTCTGGGTAGATAACAGGAAGCAAAGAGAATGACAGCATTGAGGCCATCACCATGGTAACCTGGGGAGGATGAGGGAAAAATTCATTCAGTCAACAAATATATATTGATAGATAGATAGTATATTTGCATAGGTTGAGGGTCTTAAGGTCCCTGGAAGTTACAGGGAGGATTTTGAACTCAATAACTGAGTCTCAAGCTTAGGCATCTTATTTAAGAAGCCATAGTTCCCACTCTTTCATTTATGCCAGTGATTACCTCCATGAGACAGGACTTTCTTATAGGGTTCGATGACAGTCATGTCCACTCGCTGCTCCCACTGGCCTGTTCGGAACACCCTCCAGCGACGACCATCTTCTCCAGCCACATCCCACATGCAACCCCGACCCAGCCTTTCAGCTGCCTCACTGGCCCCTAGACCCTCTGACCGAGGCAGCTCGTCTGAAAAAGAGGGATAGAGAAGGTTCAACAAGGCAGAATTCCCACTTTTTGTATCTTGCATCTTACCCAGACTCCTCAAGTTTATTACTCCAGTCTCTCATTCCTCAATTTCTTCCTTGACCCTTTAGCCCTAGTTTGTCCAATTAACCTAGTGCTTTGCTGGGTTCTCTCACTTGCGTCTCATTATCCCTACTTTTCCACTAGACCATGGCCCTGGCACAACCTTGCACTATGGCTAGTATCAGTTTTTTCAGGATTTTCTATTTCTCTTTTTACACACTTTTCCTTGGGCAAGCTCATCTATTTCCATGTCTTCAGTTACCACCAACCAATAAGGTGATGACTACCAAATTTGCCTCTCTAATCCACACTTCCCTACCCAGACCTATATCCATCCCTAAATGCCCAGAATGGACACCTCTATTTTGTATCTCTCTGTAATCTCCAATTCACCACCAGGTCCAAAATAAAACTCATATTCGTTCTCTTCCTCCTCTCTCCTATAATTCCTGTCTTGATGAATGACCTCATTGTCCATCCAGCTACCACTGAGAGAAACTGTTTGTCACCGGAGATTTCTTCATCTTTGTCAGCCCTGAAATCAACTTGACCTCAGATCCTCTTTCATTTACTTCCACAATATTCACCATCTTCTCCACTACTACTGAGCTGGTTTGAATTCTTACCATTTCTTACCTGGCCTTACTACTCACTTCCTAACTGGTCTCCCTGCCTCTAATCTCCTCCAATTCACAGAGCAAGATTTCTTTTCTCCCTTACTTTTTTTTTTTTTTACTCAAATGATAATATTCTATAACCACTATTCTGCATGATATCTCCATAATAGAAAGAGCTTCTTCATTAAAAAAAAAAGTTCCATAGTATTCCATTGTATGGATACACCATAATAGCATTAATGCTCTAATGATGGGCCTTCAGGTTGTTTTCAGTCTTTACAGAAGCATCAAATTTGATTGTTATTCTTTTGATGAAAATTTTTAGTGACTCCCCATTGCCTACAGGACAAAATCTAAACTCTTTAGCATGGTAACAAGGGCCTCCATGATTTGACCCTGTCTACTTATCTCAATGCTATCTTTTGTCATTCTCTCTTCACCTTCCGCTTCATATCTAGAGTCATGGTTAACACTTTGAATTCCCCAACATGCCATGCTATTAATTGAGTTGCTTCTTCTACCCAGAATGCCCTTTGATAAACATCAGCTTTTAATTTCTCCTCTGTGAAGCTTCTCCTGACACCTCTCAGACAGAACAGACCATTTCCTTCTCCACGGCTACACGTAGATAGTAACTCTTAACTGCACTTATTTGCATATGTGTTTATTATTCACTTCTAAACAGAGAATTCACTGAGGGTAGAGACTATCTTACTCTTTTTTATAACTCCAGTCCTAGATCAATGATAACATGTTAATAGTAATACAATAAAGTTTTCCTCAATAAGCAAAAGATCCACCTTTCTCTACCAACTACTCTCACATTGGATCTATGAGCTCTATCTTTTTATTCTGAGGAAACTGATTTTGCTGGCCTTATCCCTTGGTCCCCACCTTGTTAATTCTAATTTCAGTCCCATTAAATCTATCCTGGGCTTCAACACTGGCCTCTACTTTCTACCAGCTCAATCCTCAGGTTTGTTTCCCACCTTCCCATTCAAACTCATGTCCACTGTCCAGCTGCTCCGAGTCTGAAGGTGTCTCTAATTCATCTATTGCCAGGTCAGAACTGCTAGCAGAAGAAGGTGCAGAATGCGTGGGAGAAGTTCCATTATCTCCAGGCCCTTCAGTCAGATTCAGCCGCAACTCTGGAGCAGAAAGACGCTTACGCATGGGACGCTGGCCGCACAGGGCTAAAGTGCTGGGGTACGCACCTGGGAATGGAGGGGGGGGGGAAACGTGTGGGAGTTAGAGGTGGGTGAGAGTGGACTTGATTAGAATTCCTGTATATGAAAGTAATAATATATGGTGAACTCTGAAAAAGAATTGACATGGGATATTTAGGAAAGAGGAAATAGAACTGCAAAGGAATAGGGTTGGCACATCCCTTCACTGGACCAGGATCAGGAACTTAAGGCTTAGTTTCTACTTTACCCACCTGCCTGTGAGTCACTGTTGGGATCTTCAGGATCTTCAGAAGGGCCAGCCTCCTCAGAAAGCAATCTAGAGGGGAAGCGTATAAAGAGGGTAGAGATATAGGCTGCAGGCATCAAGCCAGATGTTAATTTATCAATTCTTTCTCCTCACCATGACTTTATCATCTTTCTTTTTCCTTCAAGTCCTAATCTACCATCCCTGTTCTCCATTTGCGGCCATCCCTCCCTTTTCCCAGCCTCCCTCACATTTCCTCACCGAGGGAATTCTTCATCTTGCCATTCCTCCTTCAGCTCCAGTTCCCCAAGTCTCAGGGCTGCTCCTACTTCTGCTGTTTCTGCATTCTCCCTGACCCTAAGATAGTCCCCCAGAAGAAAGGATTATCATAAGACAACCCAGGTAGTTGTCTTAATGGAATTGAATAGTAGATAGGGGAATTGGAATGAGGAAAGTAATTAAAGTACAAAGCTGAAAGCAGGCCTTAAAAAAACCCAAACTCAGATCTCATTTTCTAGACAGATAATTCTCTCATCACTTGCTGAAAGCAGATTATCCCTACTGTTGGGTGTAGGAGCAGAGGAAATAAAAGAGTATGAAGCTAATCACATTTACTTCCATGGCAGCTGCTCCACCTACAAAGTAAGGGTGAGAGGTGTTCCACATTACAACTGGCTAGAACCCAGACAGACCCGCCCAGCCGTCACTGGGCAAAGTTGGGGAAGATGGCACCTCGTCAGGCCTGCCTTTCCTCCACCATGCTGGGGAGTGGCTAGGGGAAACCATGGCATAGGTGGAGGGGTGGAAAAAGGAAAATTAGTTGGAAGGGGACCTTAGACTTAAACTCCGTTTTGGGTCAGCTTTCCTGATGGTCATTCTGGAAGGCAGGGAGTGGGAAATGAAAAGTATGGGTAGATTTAGCAGACAAAATATAGAACCTTCCCTTTTTTTGACGAGGGAATTGATCTGAAATCCCCAGTCCCCCAGATCCCATACCAAAAGACACACAGCTCATGGCAGTTAGTATTACATTTCCTACATAAAGCCACCTCCATCCCTTCCTGCATATTAATTCTCTATGGTCTCATCTCCTTCAGGAACCCATAAGATTTGGCTTGGTAAAAGCTGAACAGTAGGAAAGTTCCTCACACTATGTATTAATTTCCTATTTCCAATTAAGTAACAATACTTACCCAAGATCTAGTGCCTTTTCTCCAGCCTCCTGTATAGTTCCCATCTTCACAAGTCTTCCTGTCTCCTTTAAACACTCGGAGTTGTCAGGGAGCTGGCCGTCCCAGCTCCCCAACACTTCTTTACCTCTTTTCTCTGTCTAGGCTGCTGTTTCTCTTGCCTCCAAGGAGGAGGGAGGTGTGGAAGGGAGGTAAACTCATCTTCAAACAGGTTTTGCCACCTCCCCTCCCAAGAAGCAGGCTTGCCCAAAAGAGAAACCCTGCCTCCAGTGTGAGGGCGGGTTTTGGGGAGGAGAGTGCATTTCCTAGGATGGCTAGTCTTGAGTAAGTCTAGGAAGGCAATTTGTTCTCCTTTCCAGATCCCTTACAACCTTCTGGAAGCTGTTTTCTTTAAGAAAAAAAAAAAAAAGGAAAAATAGAAACCATTTTGGTTGTAAGACAATCTTAGGCCTATTTTTCAAGCACAAGCAAAACTAAGGAGAAAGGACCATGTTATAAAGAGAGCTCTGGCAGAAGAAACAAATCAAAGGCTGAGGATGAGAGGACATAGAAGCCTCCTGTTCCTTATTTCCAAAAGGGTTGTCAAAAGGAAGACATGAAGTGTTATCAGGAAGAAAGGGTATGAATCTTTAGGGGGCTGAAACAATTATCAGAGGGAAAGGCCTCATTATAGCTATAGAAAGAGACAATAAGACCTCAAACAGGAAAAGAATATTTAATACTTTAACAAAATACAAAATAAAGTACCCAAGTTACAAAACATAAATTCCTTTGGTTCAGCGGTTACACCGCTATTTTTACCTTCCAAATGACTACAGACATCATCCCCTCAAAGTGAACTCAGACTGTCCCCCTCATAATGGAAGACATCATGCCAAAACCGTCATATATGCCAAGGTTCAGTGAAGTTGTTGGCAACCTACATGGAATAGAGCTGTGAGGTAAGAACAGTGGGAATGACTTGGTCTGAAGAAATGAGGGAGACTTTACACATGCTGAACCAGTCAGTAGGGGGGATCTCTTTGCTGGGTCACTACGGTATGAGTCATAACACTGTACATGCTACATGAGGCCAAGTCCCTTGGTACAATCCAATATAAATACAGACAATCCAGTAACCCTGACCATTCCCAGGGAAGACAGAATTAAAGTACAGAGAAGCAGAAGAGAGAAAGGGTGGCAACAAGAGGCACATCACAGAATACCAGAGACATCTAATCCAAACCCTTCATTTTACAGATGGGAAAAGTGAGATCCAAAGATATGAACAGTCCTGCCAAAAGACACACAGTTCACGGCAGTTAGTATTAGAATCCAGTTACTCCATGCTTTCTTTTAATATGAGCAAGAAGAGAAAAAGATGTGACAAGAAAATCATAGACCTGCTAAGGTAAGAGAGAGAGTCAGGGCTCTCATTCCAGTTCTGTAGTCTTTTGGGAAGAGTGCCTATGAGGTCTAATGGCCTTCTGGGGTGTCTGTTGGACTCTCGAGAACCAGGGGTGTTCAGAGTCTCTTCAGGGTTCCTGTGGCTCTGGGGCAGAGTGATCCAAAGAACCTGAGAGTCAGACCACCTGATCAGGATGGAAAAGAATGGCCTCCAATCTGCTACCAAATAAGACCTGAAACAGTCACAGGAAGCTCGGAAATGGAAACCCAGCCATCTCTGAATCAAACACTGTTACCTAACTGAGGGCACAAAGAGGAGTCATGGAACTGGAAATCCACTAAAGGCTGAAAACCAGAGCGAGAGTCTTCAAAGCTCACTCAACTTTCTATCTAGCTTCAAGTAGGTAGTTAGTAAATATCTGAATGAATAAATGAATAAAACGGAGATAATCAATGATTGTATGGTTCTATGACATTGGTTCCCTTCAATATCCTTGCTGAGGCACATTTAGGGTACACATTCTTTTTGTCCCACTTTGTTAGCACTGTATGTGTATCACATTGTGCTCCTGGCAAATGAAACAGAGAAAAATCAGTGCAGATTTAAAGAATAAAATTAAATAAAACATCTGTCTGATTGGTAGAGATTGGGGGAAAGGTGGAAAGCCATTCTTAAAGCAGCTGCTTTCTTTTATTTCTTCCTCCTCCCGTCTCTATGAGAACAGTACATTCGATCCTGGAGCAATGAAGACACAGAAACCTCCAAATATCTCAACACATGCATTTGAAGTAGGTTAAGCAACCTTTCCCACTCCCCGACTTCCCCAACAGTCACTTCTTTGACAGGGAGGCACTGGTCGACCGTGACAGTGAGATTTGGCTGCATTTCTCAAAGATGGCTTCAGCTGAGAGCTTAGGCAGCCCCTGGTCAAGAGGGCACTCATCCACCAAACTGTTCATGGGTGTGGGGGGCAGTGGAGGATCCTCATCATCTTGACTCATTTCAGAAACCAGGGAGTTATCTGCCCTGTTCATTTCCTTGTCCACCTGCTCCCTCGACACACCCACTATTTCAGGCTGCTCGGCAGGGATATTCATGGAGTCCAAATACGCTGACAGGGCTTCCTGAAGCAGAGGCAGAAGTTTCTTTCGAGAGACCTGGGTATTGCCTTGAAGATAGGCTTGGAGGTTAGGATGGGTGCTTGGGATAGGAGATAACTTCAGGCATGGAGAGTGGGAGTGTTCCAGCACTCCACAAATCTAAAACAGAGGCAAGAACAGGTGAGTGATACATAAATAAGTTGGAGTAACAAAGCGCTGAAGCTTCTAAATTAAAGGCTCCCTTAGGAGCTGTGGTGGTGTAGTGCCTAAGGCATTTGACTGCTAACCAGAAAGTTGGTGGTTTAAACCCCCCAGCCAGCCACTCCACAGAAGGAAAACTGGACAATCTACTTGTGTAAAGATTTACAGCTTAGGAAACCAAAGGGGGTCGCTATGAGTTGGAATTGACTCAATGGCAATGAGTTTTGTTTTTTTTTAAATTGTGATCTGGGTGAGAGTTTACAGAGCAAATTCGTTTTCCATTCAAAACTTCATATATATTTTGTTTCAGGACACTGATTGCAATCCCCATAATGTAAACAAAGGTCAGTGTTTTGAACATACTCTGTGGGAGAAAGATAAAGAAGTCTGCTTCCACAAAGATTTACAGCTTTGAAAACCCTATGGGGCAGTTCCACTCTGTCCTATAGGGTTGTTATGAGTCTGAATTGACTCAACGGCAGTGGGTTTTTGTTTGGTAAAGGGGTGATTCTGGAAATAGGTCAAGAGACCTCTGTATAAATCTAAGCATGAAGGAGAGGTCCTTACAGAAAAAAGCAGTGCTTAGAGGCAGAATTCTACAGGGTCCTCAGGTTGGAGAAGGGACAGAAACTCACTGTCATTCGGAGTGCCACGTGGGGACAGAAAATAGCCAACTGCCGCACTGGCTCGTTGTTCATGTTGAAAAAGATAGTCATGGCGACCAGAACGTCATAGCTGTGAGCTTGGCAGAAAGCATGGAGATCGGTGATGAGGCCAGGCCTCTGCAGAAAGGCCTGAAAGAGAGGAAATGAAGAGAGGGCTGAGGGAGAGCGGTGGCTGGACCCTCCTCGTCACCACCAACAAAAAATCCCTATGATGGATTTCTTCCTATGTTAACCAGCAGGACATACACTTTATTTAAAAAAAAATGTATCTTGTATTTACTTGTTTAAAACTAGCACCATTATCTATTAACTATATGATCAAGGTTTCTATTATTAATCTCCCTGGACCTGTAAAATAAGGATAAAATACTTACTAAACAATGATTGTTTTAAGAATTAAAAATGGTAATTATATAAAGTGGCTGGCACATAGAAGGCTCCCCAACTCTTGCAATCAAACAGGCAAGGTCTTTGTATTGGGGGTATTTTTATTTTGAAACACAACAATAGTGCATACAAGTTAGAAGAGACCTGGGACCAATGCATCCTTGGCTCTTCCTTCTTTGCCAATCTATACTCTTCTTCAAAACCTAAGGCAGTATTTTCTCCAATGAATAATACCACTAACCCTTCCAGATCATGACTTTTCTTTGTCCTTCGCAGTTCTAATGTATCATTTTGTACTGTGGTTATGGTACTTGGCAAGACTTTTATGTTCATATGTTTGTGTTGTTTATGAAACTAGGTAATAAGAGTCTTAAGGGAAGAGGCCATGCTTTTTTTTTTCCTTCTATAGTATTTAGTGGAAAGCTGTGCAAAGTATGACATTACATGCTCAGATCAGGTTTGCTGAATGACATAAACCACTATAACATGAAACCAGGTATTAAAACACCATTATCAGTGGAAAAGGTGAGCTACCAATAAATACCAACTCCCTATAAAGCATCAAGCAGTGTGTCTGGTACACGGTGTTCAATAATAGCAGCAACTACAATAATTATGATTATTTTTACATTGTGCTAGTGTTGTCTCATGATATTCCAAACTTCTACCCTCCAGTTTCTGGTTCAGCAGAAGGCAAATATGCTATTTTTGTTGTTGTTGAAAATTCTAAAAAATAAGCTCTTCTTTTTTTTTTTTTTTGGTGATAAAATATAAATAACAAAACCTTTGCTATTTCAACTGTTTTTATCTGCACAATTCAGTGACATTAATATCTCACCGTTCCCACTGACTTAGCTATTGTACTCTAACTCCTTTGGTTAGAAATAATAACAAAATCAATTTTACAGGGTTGTTGGAAGGACTGAATTAGATAATGCAGTTAAAGCATCTTACACAGTGCCTAGCATATAGAAAATGCTCAATAAATATGAGGTGACATCATCATCGTAAGTACTGATGTGCATGTAATTATGGAATGTGCATGTAGAGTTTATAAGATGTTAATTTCAATATACTTTATAATTAAATGTTGCTCTTGATGGTATTAAACAGGGAAGCACAATTTTCCAAGTTATATTCATACACCCATCCAACAAAACTCTTTAGTATCCACTATGTGGAAGCACTGTCAAAGGTGGAGGAGATAAATACAGTAGAATCAAAAGAGACAGACAGGGTCTCTGCTCTGGTGGAGAAACTAGTGCAAAGAGATAGACAAGACACAAGGTAATTTCCGCGTGTTAAGTGCTACAAAGAAAACAAAACAGAATTAAGTGCCAGAGATTTTTGAGCAAGAGGGACTTTATTCTAGTTAGCATAGTCAGGAAAAACCTCTCAAGAGAAGAGACATCTGAGCTGAGACCTGAATGATAAGAAGGAAGAGCTTTTTTTTTTTTAATTGTGATTTGGGTGAAAGTTTACAGAACAAATTCACTTTCCATACAGCAGTTCACATACACTTTGTCTCATGACATTGACTACAATTTACCAGAATGCAACTGCTCCCCTCCCACATCCTCCCCATAGTTACCTCTTTCCTGTGTCCTTCCCTCCCAAGCACTCCTGTCCCCTGAGCTGTCTCCCTATACGTACACAGCCCTTCTATTTTCCCATGACTGTTCTCTCCAAGGAGTGTATCTACCTAGTGTAAATGAAGAAGGAAAGCTTTGCAAAGGGAAAAAAGAAGTACAAAGGCCCTGAGTTGGGAATGAATTCAGTGGTTCTGAGAACAGAGAGAAGATGAATGTAGCTGCAGTATTGTGAGTCCAGAAGTGGGGCTGAAATGAAATAAGGTCACAAAGACAAGGGCAGGATCAAATAGGACCTGTGAACCACAGTAAGGTATTTAGATTCTATTAGAAGTACAATGAAAAGGCAATGAAGGGAGGGGGCTGATATGATCTGATTTACATCTTAAAAACATCACTCTGGCCACTGTGGGGAATACTGTCTACAGGGGTGCAAGAGGAGGTAGGGAAACCAATATGAAGGCTTCTGCAATAGTGCAGGTGAGAGATGACAAACTATGGTGGTTAAAGTGAAGATGGAGAAAAGTAGATAGGTACAAGATCTATTTTGCAGGTGAGCCAGCAGGATTTGTTACTAGATTGGGTATAATTTGGAATGAGGGGCAAGGTTACCTATATAATTGGATGATTTCTCTATCTAAACACACACCCACTTCTTACTCTTACCTCCAAATCCATGTATATTGCACTAATGGCCATTTTGGTGCCTTGTTTGTGGATGGTCTTCTGGTCCTTTCTCAGCATCTGCTCGGTGGTCAGTCCTAGAGAGTAGATTTGATATAAGACTTAAGAATCAAATAGGAGAGCCCATGGCCCTAAGACTCGAAAGCTGAGGATACCAAGATGGGTCAAAGAAGAGGAAAAACAACAGGGAATGAATAGTACGGAGATAACTGAAAATGTAACTACATAATAAAAAATTACTCTAGATAATTGAGTCATAACAGTTACCTTTGGAGAAAGGAACTTTGGAGAGAAGCGCAGAAGAAGAGAGGTTTTTACTTTTGCCCCTTTCTGTATTATTTTAACGTCTATCTCTATACATGAGGTACTTTTTCTTTCTTCCTATTTTCTTTTTAAACTCTTTATTGTGATTTGCATGAAAGTTTACAGAGCAAATTCATTTACCACTCAATAGTTCACACACATTAAGTTTTCTTTCTCTCTTTTAATGTCAACAGGTAGTAGGTGGGTAGAAATTTATGGAAGATTTTTTGTTCTCTTCTTTTATCCTTTGTAAGTTCATCCTACAGGTTCCTTCTGCCTCCCTGACCACCTAGATCTCACCCTGATGATTTAGTACGCCCTCAATATGTTTTCCCCCACTTGTCTGTCAGTTTGCCATACTGTGGTGGCTTGCATGTTGTGAGGCTAGAGACTATGCCACTGGTGTTTAAATACCAGCAGGGTCACCGTGGTGGACAGGTGTCAGCGAAGCTTCCAGAAAAATACAGACTGGGAAGAAGAAAGGGGCCATCCACTTCTCAAAGAATTGGCCAGTGAAAACCTTATGAATGGCAGTGAAACACTGCCTGATACATTACTGAAAACTTCATGAATAGCCCTGAAACATTGTCTAATCTAGTGCCAGAAGATGAGAGTCCCTCAGGCCGGAAGACATTCAAATTACAACTGGGGAAGAGCTGCCTCCTCAAAGTAGAGTTGACCTTAATGATGTGGATAGAGTAAAGCTTTCGGGATTTCCATTTGCTGATGGGGCATTATTCAAATTGGGAAGAAACAGCTGCAAATATTCATTTAAATCAGAACATGGAATGTACGAAGTATGAATCTAGGAAAATTGGAAGCTGTCAAAAATGAAAATGGAATGCATAAAGATCGATATCCTAGGCATTAGTGAGCTGAGCTGTTCTGGTATTGGCCATTTCAAATCAGACAACCATATGATCTACTATGCCAGGAATGACAAATTGAAGAGGAATGGTGTTCCATTCATCATCACAAAGAATGTTTCAAGATCTATCCTGAAGTACAATACTGTCAGTGATAGGATAATATCCAAATGCCTCCAAGGAAGACCAGTTAATGCAACCATTTTTCAAACTTACACACCAACCACTAAAGCAAAAAATGAGAAAATTGAAGATTTTTACCAACTTCTGCAGTCTGAAATTGACCAAACATAAAATCAAGATGTACTAATTATTACAGGTGATTAAAATGTAAAAATTGGAAACAAAGAAGAATAACCAGTAGTTGAAAAATATGGGCTTGGTGATAGAAATGACGCTGGAGATTGCATGATAGAATTTTGCACCAATGACTTACTCATTGCAAATACCTTTCTTCAACAACACAAATGGTGGGTATACACGTGGACCTTACCAGATGGAATACACAGGAATTAGATTGACTACATCTGTGGCAAGAGGCAATGGAGAAGCTCAATATCTTCAGCCAAAATAAGGCCAGGACTTGACTATGGAACAGACCATCAACTGCTCATATGCCAAGTTCAAGTTGAAGCTGAAGACAATTAAAAGAAGTCCATGAGAGCCAAAATATAACTTTGATTATATCCTTCCTAAATTTAAAGGCCATCTAAAGAGTAGATTTGATGTACTGAACACCAATAACTGAAAATCAGAGGAACTGTGGGATGACATCAAGAACATCATCCATGAAGAAAGCAAAAGGTCATTAAAAAGACAGGAAAGGAAGAAAAGACCAATTTGGATGTCAGAAGAGACTCTGAAACTTGCCTTTGAACAGAGAGTAGCTAAAACAAATGGAAGAAATGACAAGATAAAAGAGTTGAACAGAAGATTTCAAAGAGCAGCTCAAGAAGACAAAGTCAATTATTATAATGAAATGTGCAAAGACCTGGAGTTAGAAAACCAAAAGGGAAGAACACACTTGGCATCTGTTCAACTATTTCAGGAGTTGGCATATGGTCAAGAACCAATATTACTGAAGAAAGAAGTCGAAGTTGCACTGAAGGAATTGGCAAAAAACAAGGCTCCAAAAATTGACGGAATACCCATTGAGATGTTTCAATAAACAGATGCTGCACTGGAGGCACTCCCTTGTCTATGCCAAGAGATCTGGAAGGCAGCCACCTGACCAAATGCCTGGAAGAGATCTGTGTCTGTACCCATTCCAAACACAGGTGATCCCACAGGATGTGGAAATTATCAAACAATATCATTAATATCACATGCAAGTGAAATTCTGATGATAATTAAAAAATGGTTGTAGCAGTATATTGACAGGGAACTTCCAGAAATGCAAGCTAGATTCAGAAGAGGATGTGGAACAAGAAATATCATTACTGATGTCAGATAGATCTTGACTGAAAGCAAAGAATATCACAAAGATGTTTACTTGTGTTTTAGTGATTATACAAAAGCATTTGAATGTGTGGATCATAACAAATTATGGATAACATTGAGAAGATTGGAATTTCAGAACACTTAATTGTGCTCATGAGGAACCTGTACACAGACCAGGAAGCTGTCATTCAAATAAAACAAGGGGATACTGCATGGTTTAAAATAGGAAGGGTATGAGACAGGTTTGTATCCTTTCACTATACTTATTCAATCTGTATGCTGAGCAAATGATCTGAGAAGCTGGACTATATGAAGAAGAATGCAGCATCAGGATTGGAAGAAGATTCATTAACAACTTGCGATATGTAGATGACACGACCTTTCTTGCTGAAAGTGAAGATAACTTGAGGCACTTAATGATAAAGATTAAAGACTACAGTATGCAGTATGGATTACACCTCAACATAAAGAAAACTAAAATCCTCATCACTGAATCAATAAGTGGCATCAGGATAAATGGAGAAAAGATCAAAGTTGTCAAAGATTTTATATTACTTGAATCTACAATCAACACCCAAGGAAGCAGCAGTCAGAAAATCAGATGACAAGTCGCACTGGGCAAATCTGCTGCAAAAGACCTCTTTAAAGTGCTGAAGAGCAAAGATGTGAAGACTTTGAAGACTAAAGTGTGCCTAACCCAAGCCATGGTATTTTCAATTGCTTCATGTGCATATGAAAGCTGGACAATAAGTAAGGAAGACCATAGAAGAGTTGATGCTTTTGAGTTGTGGTGTTGGTGAAGAATACTGAAAGTACCATGGACTGCCAGAAGAACTAATAAATCTGTCCTGGAAGAAGTGCAGCCAGAATGCTCCTTGGAAGTGAGAACGGCCAGATTTCATCTCACCTACTTGTCATGTTGTCAGAAGGGACCATTCCCTGGAGAAGGATATCATGCTTGGTAAAGTGGAGGGTCAGCGAAAGAGGGGAAGACTGTCAATGAGATGGATTGACACAGTGGCTGCAATGATGGGCTCAAGTGTAGCAAGGACTGAGGATGGTGTGTGACCAAGCAGTGTTTTGTTCTGTTGTACAAGAGGTGATAATGAGTCGGAGCCAACTTGATGGCACTTAACAACAACAATATATTTTATTTATATGTCCAGTATTCTCTGATTGACTAGACCCTCTGAGACTCTTAATTCCTTCTTCTTCATCCTTTCCAAGAGCCTGGATAGAACAATCCAGTAAATAATAGATAAGTTTATGATCAGACTCACATGCTACCTACTTTCTCTCTGGCTTATAAAGCACCTCACACACTCTGAAATTGTTTTGATGGTGTTCAAGAATATAAGGAACAAGGCTTGCCCACCTGTTTTCTCATGTGATGGGTAAGGACATCATTTTAACACCCATACCTGATACATCAAACTTTGCCTTCTGTAGGGAATCAAAGATGTCATTTCTACTGGGCAGATCTGGGAAGAGAGCCTCCAGTTTCTCCACGTATTTGCTGTCCTTTAGGGTTGCTTTTCCAATTTTAAGATCCATATTGACACAGTCCAGGATGATGGTTCCTGTAGAGAAGGGAGATGGGAGAACTCAAATCCTGTGGCCCTCCACTCACAACCACCACAACACATACAACCCTCAAAACAAACAGACACAGTGCAAAGGAGACTGTACGGCAAACTCACTGAAAACAAAACAAAAAACTGAGACTGACTGTGTCCTGTATAAAACCTCCCAAATTCAAAGTAGAATGTAGGCAGGAAATGGGGGAAAGGAAGAAAGGAAGTCTGAGCATCTCATTCCTTGGAGATTTTGCAAGCCAGCCAGAGAGATGGCCTCTCTTCAGTAGACCAATTTCCCTCAAAGAACCTTAAGGAGATGGAGGAGATAGTCTGGTCCAACTCTACTCCAATGCCTAATTGCTCTCTGAAGGAATCCCTTCCTTTGGTATAGACTGAATGACTCTGAGAGGGTATGCTCAGGCTGGAAGAGCCTACTGTCCCTTCTCTGAAATAAGAATTAAGGAACTAGTCATGTCCCAACCCCAAAGCCACCCTCACCATGCAGAAGGGCTGCAGTTTGCCTGTCCAAGATCTCTGGTGCCCCCTGCAGGATTCTCTCAGTCACCAGGGTAGTGCAAGACCCCACGAGCTCAACTGAAATATGGCAGGGAGGACAGTGTTTCTGCTCGATGGGCCGATGATCTAGCACCTCTGCTACTGCCTCCTCTAGGGCTGCATCGCTTCTGTTGGGAGGAAAGGGAAGGGTGGGGGAAAAAGAGAAAGAAAGATAGGTCTAGGCTTCTAACCAATCTCCACCTCATACATGAAGGGAAATGCAAATGTCTTAGGGAAACACTTATACCTTTGGTCACTTCTACCTCTCAATTCTTTAATGTTACAACTGAAGTCACTTTTAAGTAGTATATAATTGACTTTGGTAAAATATCTACTGCAAATATTATTCCAAACTGCATTCTCTTGACACCCAACATCCTAAATCTCTTCTGTTCCCTCAATCCACAGAATTCCCAAACTCCATGCAAGTCACCAGGTTCTCTGGCTTCTCTCTCATTATCAATTCCCATAAATCCCCTCCCTTTACAACCTTCTGCTATGACCTTATTCCAACCCTCATTCTACTTTATCTGGACAATCCTAATAGTCTCTTAACAAACCACCTGCTTCCAGTCTTGGGCCCTCTGAAGCTATCCTCCACAAAGCTACCCCAGTTATCATTTGAAAATGCAAATTTGATTCTGTTAGGACCCTGAACAAATAATAATTAATTGTAGCTTCCCAATGTCATAGAATAAAGTACAAACTCCTTAACAGGGCCTGCAATTGAATGTAAAACAAACTTGCTCTGTAAATTTGCACCCAAAGCACAATATTTTAAAACAAAAAAACAGGGCCTGCAAGGCCTCTGTGATCTCCCCTTGGCTACCTCTCTAGTCTTATCTTTTTTCCTATGTTCTACTTCTCTCTCACATTTTATGCTCCAGCCATGCAAAACAAATTCCAGTTCCCCTAAGTCACCAGGCTATTTCATGCCTGCCTGGCTGTACTTATATTAATCACTCTGTCTGCCTGGAATGCCTTTCTTAATTCCCTTCCCCCCACCCAATTCACTGAGCAAATACCTAGATCTCTTGCAGGACTTAGTACAAGGGTCAATTCTGCTAGGAAACCTTTCCTGATACCTTCTCCTTCCCACTGGTATAATTAACCACTCTGTCCTTTGTGCACTTACTACTATCTGTCCCTTAGTGTGACAGTTCTCATTCACTTCAATCATCTAGCTCACTCTTGGGGACAGGGACTCTGTCTCTAAATAAAATAATAAATAAATTCATCCTCTAAATAAAAGTTTATCACTGAATGAATGGATAGATGAGTTAATGTGCTTAGGCGACCCTCTGTTCTGTCAATGTTCTGCTACAACCATAGTTTACTATTTTACAGGAAAAAACATACATTTTAACATTAGCAGGAGCCAGACAGACTTAGGAAGGTATATACTAGTATTGTTTTTTTGCCAGTTTTTTTTAGTCCTCAATTAGGGATGTAATTAATATAAGTGTGCACATATGTTAAACAGACACCGGTGAGATACTTTAGACTCTCCATAACACTTTATACTTAATTCTAAAGTCACCAAAAGTTTATACAGAAAATGCTTGTTAACTTTTTTAAAAGTAACTCTTATGCAAAGTTTCTAATACAATAAATTTGCCACAAAATTTTAAAACAATGATACCAAAGGTAGATTTAAATGATTTCTGAATTCTCCATGTTTCTATTTCTTTTATCATGTACATAATTGGAGAACTGACAATATTTTCTATATGATATGACTCATCAATTATAATCAGCCTGTAAGATCCCTAAAAGCAAAATTTTTCTATCCTCCTGAGTGAGAAGAGTGCTGCTACATTGTAGGGATTGCAACAAGTGCCACAAAACAAAATGTATGTAAATTGTTGAATGGAAAACTATTTTGCTCTGTAAACTTTCACCCACACCACAATAAACAGTTCAAAAAAAAACCGTATCACCCTTCCTCCCTCTGTATCTGACTCATTAGAGCCCAGCATGACATATGACAAATATCAACTTAACTTCCCTCTACTTACTTCGGTAAGACATGATGGTCAACAAGGATGAGGGTGAGCTGGCCAGCCTGGTGCAGCGCATGGAGGTCAATCTCATCCCGGAAAATCAAGATGGACTCTGGAATGTGAACTTTCTGAAGAAATAAGACGTTGTCACCTCGAAGAGGTAGCTCAGAACGTTTTATATTTAAAACTGGTACAAAGACCTCGTCGGCCTCAGTTGTCTGGATAAGAAAAAGAAAGAACAGTGATGTTTTGGAAAAAGTAAACAGACTGTTGGGACCAAGGGAGCCATACATCTTGGGCAATTTACTGCCTTTTTCAAAGTCACAGTTACTTAACTCTAACTCTAACTCACTGGCGTGGAGTCAAACTCGACTCACAGAGACTCCTCCTTGGGTTTCCAAGGCGGTATCACTATGGAAGTAGATTGCCCCATCTTCCTTCCAAGGAGTGGCTAGTGGTTTGAACTGCCAGCCTTCTGGTTAGCAGTCAAATGCCTTAGGCACTACGCCACCAGAGCTCCCATGAAAAATATCACTCTTGCTCTCCATCATGAAGGTCAACAAGATAACAGATGGAAAAGACCTAGTTCTAGATGCTGCAGAGAAAACAAAAAACCAAACTCACTGTGTTGAGTTGGTTCCAACTCATAGCGACCCCTCCTTGGGTGTCTGAGGTGGTATCTCTACAGAAATAGATTGACCAATCTTCCTTCCAAGGAGTGGTTTGAACCTCCAGCCTTCTGGTTAGCAGTCAAATTGCCTTAGGCACTCTGCCACCAGAGCTCCCACAAGGAACTCAACAATAAACTGAATACTGCTTTATGATTTGCAGATCCTTCAAGATACATTTATTCATTTGATCCTCATAGTAATACTATAAAATATTGTCATTTTAGATTTGATAGATGGTGCCATGACACTCAGCAAAGTTAAGGGATTTAACTTACCCAAGGCTAAATGCTGATAAATGGCAGAGTTGGGTTTTGAATCCAAATCTTTTCATTCTAAGAGACTCTCTTCCTAGGTACTCACCTTTGCCAGGTAAAAAGCTAGAGTGAGAGCAGACACCATGGAGTCCAGGTCACAGGCTTCATTTCCCAATACAACATGTAGAGGTCGGGATTCCTGGGGAGAAAGAACAGTGGGAAACAAACAAAAGCATCTCTAATCATTTCATTTCTGTACTCATGCAGGGGCTTCACAAACATCCTCTCATTGATCTTCCCACAGGAGATGGGTCAGAGATTCTCATGGGTCCTCATCTTATGGATGAGGATATTAGTAAAGAGGACACAAGCAGTTTTGCTAAGTCACATACCCAGTTAGTAGAAAAGTATTCTTTCCCCTTTATTACAGTCTCTTTAAATGGTAACTCATAGAAGAACAGTTATAAATAACTCTATGGTTTCTTATGCTTCTTTGGACACTTGAAGAGAAGTCAAAGGTACAGTTGGGGTAGCTGAGTTGTTAAAGCCACAGTCTTGGGCATATGAACTCTGGTTTTTCCCATTTTCAAAACAGAGAAAAGAATACTTATACTTCTAAATCATATGTGTAGGCAAAGAGACTTTTAATGAAAATAAGATCTAGTCAATTATCCAGTTGTCCATGAAAACTCTCCCTACCCTGAGAAGCCCCAGCAATAACCAGAAATAACCAATACCTCCCCATATGCCAAGAAACTTTCCCTAACAGGTTTAGATTAAAGGGTAGAGACAAGACTAGCTGCTGCTGCTGCTGGAACTTTTATTTTGAAATCTTGGAAAAGTCCAGCTGCAGATAACTCAGAGGAGGGAGGGGTACCTACTGTTATTATTAGACTTGTTCCCTTATATCTTTCTGGCTTTCAGAGTATTAAAAAATAAAATACATTAAAACTTTCAGTGTCCACAGTAGCAGATACAGAATTTGTTTTTGTTTTGCTTTTAAACATTTACCGAATGTAAAATTATTAAACATTGCTTTTATACTTTTACATGCCATTAGCTAGTTACTTAATCTCTCAAAACAATTCCATAGGGTAGGCACTTTAAGAATTACTATTTCACTCCAGGTAGAAGCATTCTGCTGGGTAGAAAGAGTTCATAAAGCCTATGACTTGGCTTAGTATACAAGCATTCTCTCTCTCTTTACCATCCTTCATGTGTACAATTCAATGACACCAATTACACCCATCATGTTGTGCAACCATCACCAATATCCATTCCCAAACCTTTCATCACCATAAACAGAAACTCCAGCCTCCCTTCCTCCTGCCCCTGGTAACAATAATAAACTTTGGTCTCTGTATATCTGCCTATTCTAGGTATTCCACATAAGTGGGATCCTTTTGTGATTGGCTTTGCTTTACTCAGCGTAATGTTTTCTAGGTCCATCCATGTTAAAACATGTATCAGGACTTCATTTCTCTTTATGATTGAGCAATATTCCACTGGAAATGTATATCACACTTTATTTATCCAATCATGTGTTGATGACACTGAGGTTGTTCCCACCCTTTGGCTATTGTAGACATTGCTGCAGTGAACACTGGTGTGCATGTATCTGCTTGTATCACTGTCTCTTATTAGTTTACTTTTGAACTTCTATCTCAGCTTGCTTCTGAGAGAAGACGGGTGAGGAGAAACAAAATGACACACTAGTTATAGCAGGGTTCTCAATCTCAGCACTACTGGCTTTTTGGACTGGATAATTCTTTGTTATAAGGGTTGTCCTGTGCATTGCAGGATGTTTAACACCATCTCTGGCCTCTACTCACTAGATGCCAGTAGCACCCCCAACTGTGACAAGCAAAAATATCTCCAGACTTCCCAAATGTCCCCTAGGGGGCTGCCAAAGAGGCAAGGAGGCCGCATCCTCTGACCTCCTCTAACCCTAAGAGGAAGACAGAATCACCATAGCCCAAGGTCTATTCCTGCGAGGCCAGACATGCTGCCTCCCTCCAGCCTTTCACCAACCCTGACACCAACTGTTCCTCTGCAGCAACCACCACCTCTCTGCTGGGTTCAACAATTTGCTGCAGTGGCCACACAGAACTCACAGATTATGTATGGGGTTTATTAGGGAAGCAACAGGCTACAATCAAGTTCAGGAGCACACTCAGTCTCTCAGCCCACTGTCTCTCAGCCAACAGTCTCTCTCACTCTCCTAGCAGTGCATATCTCTCACATTGCTCAGCTGGCAGTGAGATTCCTTCTATCTCTAGGAGGGCTCCTCTTGAGCCTGGCAGAGTGGCCAAACTAACCAATCCCAACATCAGAATTCTATACACCTGAGAGAGAGAAAACTTCCCAGAAGATTGCTTCATGGCACTAGCAACAGAAATCCACCCCAGGTGGATAACATTAACAATCAGGAGCTACTCAGTTGCTCACAGCAAATTCCACCACAGCGTTTACAAAGACTCTGGCTAGAAAAGCCACACTATGTAATTTACTACACCACAGGGACAAAATTGTCCCTGGCTGAGAACTACTGGTTACACAGGAAGGTAAAAACACTGGTTTTTTCAAAAAGGGAAAATTTGCTATCTGAAAGAGTTTAGAAAGTAGAAAGGTAGTTCAGGAGTAAAACACAGCAAGGTGATGTAACTGTGGGGAAAAAAAGAATCTAGAGAAACCCAGAATCTTCTTCCTATGTAGGCTATGCCTCCTTCCCCAAACTGGATAACTACAGCCAGAAAGAAGCAATTTTAGAAGACTTCTAGTGGTATAAATTCCCCTATCTAGTTACTAGGCAGGTTTTTGTTTTTAAACCACCCTTTACCCATCTCCTATTACCACCCATAAAGAGAAGTATAAAAGGCAGAGGTTATCTGTTAGGGTTTTAGGCAAAGGGCCCCTGGGGGAAGTTTGCCCTTCGATTCTCTCCTGTATCTATTTCTCTAAGCCTATTTCAAGAGTGGGGCAGTCAAAATGTTTCTACATGTGTATTTGTATGTGTTGTAAGAATGCCCAGGTGCAGCCAGCTACCCAGAGGGAGCGAATAGTTGGATCTGTGAGCTTGGGACCATAGTCACAGGGGACATCAAGCTCAATTGGCCTAACACACTACACAAAACATTGTTCCACATCCTACTTTGGTGAATAGTGACTGGGATCTTAAAAGCTTGCAAGCGGCCATCTAGATGCAATGATGGACCTCTGCTCATCCAGAGCAAAGAAGAATGAAGAAAACCAAAGACATATGGAAACAATTAGTCCAAGTGATTGGTACACCATGTGATCCTCAGCCTATGTGACTATGAGACCAGAAGAACTAGATGGTGCCTGGTGTCAACCACTTGGAGGGGGATCTCTGTAGGAGATCCTGGATAGAGTGGAAGAACAATGTGGAACAAAAGTCAAAAATCATTAAAAAAAAAAAAAAAAAAAGACCAAGTTTGCTGATAGAGCCTGGTGTAACCCCTCAGACCATGGTCCCTAGCTGCCCTTCAGGTCTGGAATTGAACCCACTCCTGTGACTGCCAGCCAAACAAAAGACAGGCATATGAACTGAACATTTACAATAGGTAGATACACTCCTTGGAGAGATCAATCATGGGAGAATAGAAGGGCTGTGTATGCAAAGGGAGACAGCTCAGGGGGCAGGAGTGCATGGAGGGATGGACACAGGAAGAGGTAACTATTGGGAGGAAGTGGGAGGGAAGCTGTTGCATTGTGGGAAATTGTAGTCAATGTCATGAGACAAAGTGTATGTAAGCTGCTGTATGGAAAGTGAATTTGTTCTGTAAACTTTGACCCAAATCACAATAAAATTAAAAAGAAAATAAAAGAATGCCCAGGTGTATAGTAGAGCTGACATGGGTCAAGGTTGTGGTGGCTCCATGGCCATAGCCAGCTACCCAGAGGGAGTGAGTAGTTGGACCTGTGGGCTCGGGACCATGGTCACAGGGGATATCAAGGTCAACTGGCATAATGTACTACACAAAATAATTGTTCCACATCCTACTTTGGCAAGTAGCAACTGGGGTATTAAAAGCTTCCAAACAGCCATCTAGATGCAACATGGGTCTCTCCTCATCCAATGCAAAGAAGAATGAAGAGCAAAGGTGCATGGAAACAATTAGTCCAAGGGACTGGTATGCCATGCGATCCTCAGCCTATATGACAATGAGACCAGAAGAACTAGATGGTGCCTGGCTACCATTGTCAATCATTCAGAGGGGGATTGGTGCAGGAGATCCTGGATAGAGTGGGAGAACAATGTTGAACAAAACTCAAAATTAAGAAAAAAAAAAAAAAAAAATACTAGGTTTGCTGGCTGATTGAGCCTGGTAGAACCCCTGAGACTATGGCCCCTAGCTACCCTTCGGGTCTGGAACTGAACTTACTCCTGTGGCTTCCAGCCAAACAATAGACAGGCATATGGGGTGGACATTTACATCAGGTAAATATACTCCTTAGAGTGATCAATCATGGGAGAGAATAGGAGGGCAGTGTTTGTACAGGGAGACAGCTTAGGGGTCAGGAGTGCATGGGAGGGAAGGACATCGGGAAGAGGTAACTACTGGGAGGAAGTGGAAGAGAGCTGTTACACTGTGGGGAATTGCAGTCAATGTCATGAGACAAAATGTGTATGAACTGCTGTATGGAAAATGAATTTGCTCTGTAAACTTTCACTAAAACCACAATAAAAATTTAAAAAAAAAAAAAGTCGACTAGTTAAGACTCATTCACACTGAATAGCATAGGCAAGGGGAGATTTGTTTTCAATATTGAACTCTTTTTTTCTAACATAATAAAAGAATTCTGTACCCTAGACCCCAGTCCTACAGTAATCCCTTTCACTTGTAATTCCTCCTCCCTATACCAGAGAGGGCCCCTCTCTTGTTTCCTAGATACCAAGAACTGTCCAGATGGCTGTGGACCAAAGTGACAGCAAAGCACTTGAGATAAGTGGCTGCAGGGATAACTCGCTTGCTGAAGCAGCAAGGGGCGGAGACACTACGTTCTGTAAAGAAGTTAAGTATAGAAACAGGAGAAGCTGTATGGCCCTAACTCTGGAGAAAGAAGGTAAGACGCACAGAGAAAAAGGCACAGCAAGGGGATAAGACGTATTGCTGGCACAAAGAGGCCCCCAGAGAACCTTTCCAAAACTCATTTAGATTAGTGCTGTGCTTCATTCCAAGCGGTAGCTGCATCAGGATCAGCCTGAAGCCCAAAATCAAGAGAAGGCTAAGAAGAAACAAACAGAAGAAAGTAGGCACCAAATACAACTTCATAGCTCTAAGGTGAGGAGAAATGATCTCTAAAGGAAGGCAAACAACTAACTGGCTTTCCCTTTGTGCTCAGCAAAGCCCAGAGAGCAAACCACATGGAAATAATACAAAAGGGAATCCCAGCAAGGCTCGGAACAGGGATGACCAAAGGAGGTAGTGGCATTCCTTTCCCCCGTCAGCACCCACCCTTCACCCAGCCTGACTGGTCTATTCACCACCCCCAAAACATAATGTGCACATTCCCAGCTCTGCTCTTTGGTACTTTTTGTTCTTCCCTTTCTGAAGGCAGCAGAGGCACCATTTGAAAAGATCATAGACTTGGGGGTTGAATTTCAGCTCTGCTTCTTACTTATGGGATGTGGCCTTTCTAAGCCTCATTTTCCTCATATGAAAATGTGGATAATACTGTAACCAATTTCATGGAATAATGTCTTTAAAATGAGATACTTTGGGGAAAAGAAGGTGCTATTAATGATTATGTTGGAGTAAACTAAGACCATCTTGGCCACATTAGATGTATGGTTGCCCAACTTACAAGATACCATTCATTCTCTTCTTCATCTAGGAAAACACATGTAACTGAGTCCCCACTCCATCCGCCCACACCAGCTGAAAGCACAAGACAAACAGCCTCAGTTTTCTGACCATCAGAGGAAGAGTTCAGAGCAAATATAGCTTTACTTAGCTGCGTGAGGAAACCTGAGCTACAGGTAGAAGAAACACAATCTGAAAGCCACAAGTAGATAAAACTTTTTTTTTTTTTTTTAATAGACCCACTAGTTGAAATGACTCTTGTCCTAATGCTTTCTTTATCTGTGGCCTCAATGGGAGATAGAGGTGGTTCCAAAGTAAACCATTTCCTTTCTGAAGCTGAATATGGTCTGAATATAGTGAATGAGAGAGAAGGAAGGAAAAAAAAAAAAGAGATAAGGAACCAGAGACTGAGAAGCCATCCTACCAGAGAAAATGGGAACAATGCTAAGACCTCAAATTTCTAAGATAGTGGGCCACTCCTGATTCCCACCTCATTCATGCTTGAGAAATGCAAAAAACATATTATCCAAAGGCTCCTGGGTGAACATCTAAACTTTTTTTTTTCAGTTTTCTATTGTGATTTGGTCACATATTTACATAGAAGATTTGTTTTCACTCTCAACAGTTCATACACATTTGGTTTCCTGGCACCAATTACAATCCCAACAATAAACAGCTCTCCTATCTCCTTCCAGTGATTACCCTTTCCCTGCAGTCCTTATCTCTGCATTCCTGTCTGTCCAGCTTTTCCCCTAGGCAAACGCTGCCCTTCTGATCTCTCAAATTTGATTGATCTAAGGGGTGCATCTCCCTGGGGTAGGTGTTGTGCTAGGAGGCCTTTCTACTAGTGCTTGGCTGAGAGCTAATCCACAGAAGTGAGTCTAGTTCCAGGCCCGAAGGACAACCCGGGGTCATAGTCTTGGGGGTTCCATCAGTCTCTATCCCACCAGTGATTCTGATAATTTCTGTGTTTCTGAATTTGAATATCTAAACTTGAATACAGTTCCACTATAAAGATTTTTGTAAAGGGGAGCTCTAGTGCCGCAGTGCCTAAGGAATTTGACTGCTAACCAGAAGGCTGGCAGTTCAAACCCACTAGCCACTCCTCAGAAGGGAGGTTAGGCAATCTACTTCCATAGTGATACCACCTTGGAAACCCAAGGAGGGGTCTCTACGAGTCGGAAACAAATCAATGGCAGTGAGTTTGGTTTGGTTTTATAAGTGAAAGATGAGTCCCCACAAATAGGACGTTTAGTTAAACAGAATTAAAAAGAAAAAAAAAAAAAGAACATCCTATAATCACTGTGGCAAAGACTGTAGAAAGTTTTTCTGATATCACATGCTAAAAATATGGTATCAACAGACTTGGCTGGATTATCAGCTGTCTCTACACTGTGCAAAAGTCAAGCATTCATGATTCCCTGAAAACTATTCTATATATAGTGTAACTGAAACCCTCAAATTTAACAACATCTCTATCTAAACCATGTCTTTCTTTACACACAAAACCTAACAGTGGTGGCCTCTAGGGAATTTCATGGGGGAAAAGGAAAAGGATTTTTTTTTTCTTTCTATTTTATACCCTCTTTGCATTTAATTTTTTTCACAATGTGCATTTACTACCTCTATAATCACAAGTGACCAAAATTGTTCATGTTTACCTGTATGTACTGCCACCAGTTCACCCATGAACATTTCCAGGGTCAAGTTTTCTCGTTTCTCCCAGCCCTGGCTAGGCTATATGATGAGAACACCAAGATACAATCTCACCTTCACAAATTCACAAGTTTGGAGAAAGGAAGATTTTGTTTCTTGGGGGATTAATGTAGGGAGAAAAAGGTCAAGAGACCAGCAGCTCAACAGTATTTTTCAGTTCTATGTTGAAGAGCTTGCTTTTGATATATGGTAGAGTTATTGCACATGGAGCCTCTAGACTTACACATGCAAAGAAATGCTATTTGGTGAGGTTTCAGATCCAAGTGCTCTTTACCAAACAGTAGATAAGAGACTACTGATTTGGGTTATTAGGGTAGGGAAGTTCAATCACCTGTCTAGGTTTCTTCTAGGGCAGTGTAACTTCGAGTAAGGGACCTTAGAAACCCTCCCCCTCTCTGGCCAGGTTTTTGTTGCTGAGGATAGCAGCCTAATGCTTTAAGGCCCCTACGCCCGGTGAGTGAGTCCAACTGGCTGAGAGAGTACCAAAAATAAACCACAAAGCATTCAGGAATCATGCTTATGGTTTTGACTCCAAACACAATTTATGCTTACATCTTTCAAGCAGGGGATTTTTATGCAATGTGTGCGCGTTAAGGCCACAAGGAAGAAAGCTGGAGGCAAAGCAATAATGGTTTTGGGTCAAAAGATATGCCTGATGTATTGTGTAGATTTACCTTAAGAACAGAGACTTAACAGTAAAACACTATAACCAACTCTTATCGAAAACGTGTTCAGCCTGTCAGAGAGAAACCTCTGCTCTGGAGAACTAAAGCCGTGGGCATGTAAGTTTTCTCGGTACCCCTGGGGTTCACCTGGAGGCCAGTGGGCCAAGCAGGCTTCGTGAGCGAAGAACTGAGAGGGGCGGGGAGAAATGAATCAACACACCTCCCAGGGCACGGCTGGTGGCGGTGCAGGCTAGTCCTTTAGCTGAACTGACTCAGGACACAGTGAACAGAGGCTTCAAAGCAGGACCCAGACCCGCGGCTCCTCCTCCCTGCCAAAACGCGTGGAGCCAAAAACGTGGAGACTGAGAAGCATTCTTACCCTTCCTGATCCAGGTTCTCATTCCTCAGGCCTCAGCCTGATCACACTCCCAACCAAGACCCCTCCCCACGACTCCGTGTTTCCTTCACACGGACCTCCGGGGTCTCCAGATCCCACAACTCCGTCCTTCCTGGACCCACGTTCTATTCCTTACAGTCTTAGGCAGAGACCCGTTACCTGCAGAGCAGCTCGACAACCCTGCAGGTAGTCCTCCATGGTGAAGCCGAAGTTGCGCCGCCGCCCCTCGCCGAGGAAAGGTTACCCGGGGAATGAGCCCCGCCCCAGACTCTGGGCCAAGAGCCGAGAGTCAGGAGGCGGGACTCGAACCTGCCACACAGACATTCGGCCCCGACCTGGCAGGAAGTGCGTAATGAGGCACTCCCGTAGTCCCACATCGCCCCGCCCCCAGGCGGCCGACAATAAATTCTGCCCCTGAGACTCATGGGACACTTTAGGAGGCGCGAAGTGACTTGTGGCGCAGGGTTTCCTGGGAAACGTAGTCCAAATGTTTCGAAATGCTCCCAAAATTTGAGGAAAGGAGAATTTTTTGAGAGATAACTCATTTGACACAAAGATGTGTATGTGTCACAGTAACCCGTCTTTGTAGCTTCTGAAGCTTCTTTCTCGAGTTAGGCTAGGATAGCATCGTTCTATTATACATGTTATACCGAGCATCTTGTTGACTTCTTAAATTATATATGGCAAAAACACCTCTTCATTTTCCTTCCTCAAATTCTCCCCTTTACCAAACTAACGTATTGCCACCGATTTTGTGGTTGCCCACGCTAGGGGAAAAAAAGAAGAAGAATCTTTGTTCCCGCTTCTTAATACTGACACTCTCTTGCCAATTCCTGACGCCTTTTCCGTTACAAGTTTGTGGCCTGTTTGTTCTATAGCCTACGCAAAAGTCTCATTATTCCCTTCCTAGGCTGTTGTAATCTTGGTTCTTTGCTCCCTGCCTCCCTAATTATCCCAACTGCTCTTCCAGCTTTCGGAGTTGCTTGAAGCTTCATCCTTTGACAGTCCTGTACTCAGAGTTTGGAGGGCCCTTCAGAATGTAGAGCTGGGTTCCAACTCCCTTAACTGCCACCTTTCTGGCCCCAGAGTAGTACAAAGTACTGCATAAAAATGTACTGTCGTATCAACATTTATTTCCCTCATTTATTAATCCATCCTTTGTTTCTGCCAGCCTCACACCAGCTTTTCCATCTCTCCGAGTTGGGGATTAAGAGGAGGTGACTGATGAGAAGCTGATGAGAGTATAGGGGTGTTGGAGCTCATATTTGCTCAGCTCAGGGCTCTTCCAGATCCTGGGGCTTCTTCCACACTTTCTTCTGCGCTACCAGGGTTACAGCCTAACCAGTGTCCTTTCCAGGTGAAGATGGTACAGCAAGAATGTTACAGAAAGGAAGACTTTGAGGGCTCCAAACAGAAAGGAGCAGGAATTTTTCTTTTACATTAAATGAGAAAATAAGCCAATATCATGCTCGTTGATCGTACTTCTGTGGACCCAGAGCAAAACAAGAATGCCACATCCAGGGAGAGAGCTCAGATCCTAAGAGTTGTTGCTGTCCAGCCGGTCTCCTCCCCACTCAGCAAGCGCACTTGCTCTTCCCTATTCTCACCAGAGAGGCACAAGTGCTCCGTCCCCTCCAGCGGCAGGCGAAAGGAAGAGAAAGGGTCTGTTGTTTTTCTCTCCTTGTTTCCCTCTCCCTCTCTGCTGATCACCAAGCGGCTGACCGGGTCAGAAAGCCCTGATGGAAACCTTCCAGGGCTGGGCAGGCCACCTCTGCTCCAGGGAGCTTGTCGTTGACTAATTTTTCTTTGTCTTGATGGGAAAAAAGAAAGGGAAAGAAGAAAAAAAGAAAAACCACAAACTTCCTTTGAAAACCAGCTTGTAATCAGGGCCTGGAGCGCAAACCTAGACTCGGCGACTCAGGAATCCTGAAGACCCTGGGAGCTACCCGGGAGCACCCGGACTGTGCCCGGGCCGGGCCCCCCTCCGCCCCTTCCCAGGTCGGGCAGGCGTGGGCGTGAGTCCGGAAGCAGCCGCAACCCAGCCGGGACGCCGCCTGTAAACCTGTGTAAGCTGTGGCGTTGACAGCTGGAAAGCCGCTGGGGCTGTGGCGGCGCCCCTCCTTGTTGCCCCTCCCCCATCGAGTTGCCAGAACTGAACCTTCTTCTCAGTCCTGGAACAGCACCCACTTCTTTAAGGTAAAACTTTTGTTAACCATTTTCTTCTCTCCTTTCCCACCCCCAGCTCTTCTTCCTCTCCAGCTCTGGGGAGTTGACACTGTCAGTTTTGGTCTGGATTGCCAAAGTAGCTGCAAGACAGGGGAAATATTTAGAAAAGGGTGCTGCCTGGTACCTTCATTTCCTCCTTTTAATGAGACCCTCGCCCTTCCCTTGTGAGCAAGTAGGTAGGGTGGTGTTTGATTTATTCTGAGGAGAAAATCTAAACCATTGATTTCATGAGGATTTGCATGAGGCTGAGAAAGAGATTAGGTGAGACAATACAAGACTTGGGGAGTGAGAAAGAAAGGTTCCTACAGGGTTTTCTTGAAGCTGTATACCCATTTTATATGCTTCTCCCCTTCCCACTTTTGGCTATTTTCTGCCACCAGCTAGGGAGGGGGCAGAACTATTTTAACTCCTTCATCCACTATAGAGGATAATTCCAGCTGGAGAGCAAGTACAGGACTGGGGCTGAGAAAGGAGAGGAAAAGAATGTAATTGTGGTTTGTTTGAGTACCCTCCCTCTCAGCCTTTCCTTCTTTAAAATCCTCAAAGTCCACCCCACCAGAAGTGTATCTTGTGGGGTGGGAACTCTCCATTGTATTTTCTGCCCTTCCTCCTAAGACTCAGCCCACTTAGCTCTGGCCAATCTCTCTGAGAGCCAGCTCCCTTGGGTGTCCAGCTTCTGGTCCCTTTTGGCGCATACCTCTAGCCATCTAGCTGCCCTACCCTCTATTTAATTGTTGACCATTTCTGGTCCTGGATAGAAAAGATAAGAAATGAGCCCTGCTTTTCTCCATGCTTTTTTTTTTTTTTTAAACTTTTTCAGGCCCGGCTTCTGCTTCCAAAGCTCGCCCTAATTACCATTTGGGAGGGGAGGAAGATAGGAGAGAAAGAAAAAAGAAAGGTGTAAAGCCTGCAGTCAATTTTTGGCTACTCTGATTCTGAATTAACAACATGTAAAAGAGGTGAAGCTAGCATAAATTATATTTGAATCAGGAGGGTGATCAATTTGGGTGACTAGACTTATTTCCTAACTTTCTAGTTCCTGAATCTTATATGCCAGGCCTTCCCTTTGCCCTAAATTCCTGCCTGTTTACAAGATAGAAGCATAGTCTCAGGTTAAAAGGGAAGCTAGACTTCTGATGAGTTTAATTTCTCCCCATTTCTCACCCTAAGGAAGGAGGAGGGATCAAGGACATTCAAGGGAAATGTTTTCCAGAGAGCAGGGTTTGTGGCTTTTTATCATTGACCATTCACAGCATTATTTAAATGTCTATCAGTGTTTGACTGGCTGCTTAGTGCTGATAGAGAACAGGTAAACAGGTTCACATCTAAAATGACCTAGATGGGAAAAGACATAAGGGTAGATAAATGTTGAGAAAGTATTTTTCTGCAAATCAAGATCTTTGTTTTCATATTCCATGTAAATTGTAGGGAAGAGAGTGTCTCAGTTGAGGTAGTCTTGGAACAAAGAAGGACTGAGGAGAAGTTGCTGTCTAAATTCCAACTGTTGAGAGGCACTCACTGCAGGAATTTGTGGGGAGTGGCTTTTGCGGCTATTCTAATATTATTTCTCAGAACAAATCTCTTATTCAAGTCCCCATAGCCTGGGTGGTGCAAATGGCTAAGTGCTTGACCACTCGCCAGAAGGTTGGCAGTTCAAACTACCTAGAAGTGCCTCAGGAGAAAGGCCTGGTGATCTCTGTCCAAAAGGTCAAAGCCTTGAAAATCCAATAAGCTGGTTCTACTCTGGTTGCCAGTGTGGTTGGAGCCCCACACTGATTGGACGGCAGACATACCCAGCCTGGAACCAAACTCACCCCAGTGTTTCAACTTCAGCCAAACAATAGACAAGCCTATAAAGTGAACAACACCACCAGGGAGGTACACGCTCCTTAGAACAACCAACCATAGAAGATCAAAAGGGCAGCATTTGCTCAGGGATAAAGCTCAGAAATCAGGAAGGGATAGGAAAGGACATGGAAATAGTAAACACAGGGAGGAAGTGGGAAGGGTGCTGTTACATTGTGAGGATTGTCATGAATGTTGTGAATCAAAATGTGTATGAATTGTTGAATGGGAAACCAATTTGCTCTGTAAACTTTCACCCAAGTCATGATAAAAAGTTAAGAAAAATAAACAAAAACAACACAAAACAAAAACAACATAGCTACATTTCCTCTCTGGAGCCTACAGGAAGCCCCTCCCAAGACCTTTGTGCTGTGGTTTGGGATTGTGTAAGGTTCAGCAGGGTCCTTTGAAGAGAAAGGCTTCTTCCTTACCGGTTTCATCTTTAGAGGCATGATACTGACTCTGCCTCTCCAGCCTTCACCCCAGGCAGTATGTGGCTATTAATCTTTTTGCACCTTGGGTGAAGGCAAAGAGAAGATACTGCTAGGGATAACAGGACTCAGTGTGCTCAAGCTGTTCTGTGAGCAGCCAAGGGGTGAGGTTTGGTGTAGGACAGAGAGATTACCCTTGTCCTGTCTGTGGTGGGAATTCCTGACGTGTTGTCTATTATAACTAAAACCAAACCCATTGCCATTGAGTCAATTCCAACTCATAGTTGACCCTCATTGGGTCTCTAAGGTGGTAAATCTTTATGGAAATAGATTGCCCTGTCTTCCTTCCGCAGAGTGGCTCGTGGGTTTGAACCACCAGCCTTCTGGTTAGCAGTCAAATGCCTTAGGCGCTGCGCCACCAGAGCTCCTTGATGTCTATTACGGGGTGAGCTAAAGATCTCTGTAAAAAATGGCATCAGGGTGTTGGACCACCTCCTCTAACTTCACAAGGGAGAATGGAGAATGGAGATCAAGAGCCCAAGGCTGATTTCTATGAAGCAGAGGTCAAACATACCTTCTCTCTCCTTTTTACCAATTCTGACCAGCCATCCCTCCCACAGCACTGTCTACTTCTCTGCTGGCTTCAATAATTTGTGGCAGGGCCACAAAGAACTCACAGACCATACTCCTGATTATGGGGTTTATTAGGGAAGTAACAGTTTACAGTTCAGGATCAGGAGCAACTCAGGATACAGTTCTTCAGTCAGGACAGCTTTTCGGCCATGTTTGCAGGCAGGCTTTGCCCTTGGCCTCTGCCCTGCTCAGGCAAGTGTTACAAAGCTCTTTAGTTCCACCAGTAGGTACCCGGAGGCACCCTACTCTAGCAGCAAGCCTCTTGCTTGAAGATGCCCAGCTGTCTCTTGCTCCGTGGGTCAGCAAGCCTAGCTCCAATGACAAGAACTAGGAGGTTCTCAGGGCAGGCACCCTACTGTACCAGGAAGCCTCCTGCCCAAATGCGCTCAGCTCTCTTGCTCTGTGGGTTGGCACACACAATGTAGCTACCTTGCTTGATGGGCTAGGAAGCCCAGCATGCTGTCCTGTGTTGGTCTCCTGGTTCTGCTGTTGCCGTTTCTCTGCTGCTGCTGCTTCTTCCACTTTATACCATCCCCAGTGTTACACCTCCCTTTGTCTTTACTGGGTCTAGAGGTTCTCATGGTGGGAACCCCGAGTCCAAAGGATACACTCCACTCCCAGCTCTTCTTTCTTGGTGGTAGTGAAGTCTTCCCTACTCTGGGATTGCCTCTTTTTTTTTAAGCCCAGCAGGATGGTAAAACTGACCAATCCCCTCTTCAGAGTTCCATACATCTTATTTGCATGGCCCCACCCCCACAAGGGAGCCATGCACCTTATTTGTATCATTAGAAGGCTGTTCAATCCCCTTAGTGGGCCATAAACACTTTATTTGCATAGTCTCACCAAATCATTTGGTAGGAGTACCCGGACTGTGGTGAGAAAGGCCCTGTAAAAGCGATCAGTTGTACTGCAATCACCATAATTAATAACCACAAGTATAGTTTTAATATTTCTTTCTCCATCTCTTTCCCTTCTGTCTTATTCCCTGTTATTGTCTGTTTCAGGAAAGCTGACTCCACCCAGTGTCTTCAATCCCACTGGAATTATCCCTCCCAAGCCTGAAAGCCCTGTGCCCTTATTGGTCCTGTCTGGTCACAGCAAGTTAGAGGTGGAAAGAGGTTGTCTAGGGGCCTCCTGTTTATACATGCTGAGAAAGACATGTGCTGCCCCTAGTCAGGAGTGAGAACACGGACACTGTCTAGGCCCCCACACTTCATTCTTTTCGCAAGACTTCCTGGGACCCATTTGCTTTCCATCTCAATGATTTCCTTCTTCCTGTACTGTTCCCTCTTTTGCATACCAAGCCTGATTTAGGCAAGGCTCTGAGGTCAGTGAACTTCTTTAGTTTACCATATTTGACTCCATTCTGATCATGGAGCACCATGAACCTAAGCAGCCAACCTCTGGTGAAGCCAGGACAGTAGAAGCAGTCACCCCTGAAAATCAGGAGGTCCTGTCAGAACCAGAGGAACACCTTCAGGACAAGAATGCTGCAAATATTAATGGGGTGGCAGGAGAACAGGAAACAGTAGTCCAAGCTTTGCTGCCTGCCCAGGGCCAGGAGAACCTCGAGTCCCCTCCACCTGAAGCTAGCTCCAGCCAAGTGGGGCCAGTTCACGGGACTCAGACTGAGGTAGAGACAATAGGGGCATGCCCCAGCCCCCAGGAGCTTCCCCAGTCCCCTAGGGCCCAACAGCCTGAGCTAGATTTCTACTGTGTAAAGTGGATTCCCTGGAAGGAAGAGCGGACACCCATCATCACCCAGAGCACAAATGGCCCTTGCCCCCTCCTTGCTATCATGAACATCCTCTTTCTTCAATGGAAGGTAAGAGAGAATTTGCATGGGGGTTTAGAAAATAACTGGGGACAGTGCTCTTTCCTGATCCTCCTTTTGATCATCCTGATTTTCTCAAACCAGTCAAAACTTTCTAGGTTATTCTCCCTATTTCTTCAGCTTAAATCAATGAGATAAGATGTTCCTAAGAACAAAACAAAAAATTTTCTTTCTTACTCCTGTTTCTCCTACTCTCTAGCAAGATGGCACTGCCTTGCATAGTTTACATTCATTCCTTTTGCACCAGTTGTAAGCCTTTCTCCCCCCATCACCCTCTGCCACTGGCTACCTATTTCTGTGGGTTCTCCCTCCAGTGTTCTGTAAGGGAAAGCACACACATGGCTAACGCTTGATCATCCCTTCTGCTTCCAGGTGAAACTGCCCTCTCAGAAGGAAGTGATCACATCAGATGAGCTCATGGCCCATCTTGGTGAGTGACCAGGCCTTGAAAATCACCCAAGGAATCTCGAGCTATCCACTCAGCTAGAAATCGAGAATATTGAGGGACTCCCCACTTAGGGCTCTGATATGGCATAGAGGGTGAGGGGCTGGGCGATTTCTCTACAAGGCTAAGGAATGAAAAGCAGAGGTCAAGGTGTCAGTTGTCCTGGGTTGTAATGTCAAATCTGCCCTTGGCTTTCACGTGTGACCTTGAGTCTTAGTTATCTAGTGCTGCTATAAAAGAAATACCCCAAGTGGGTATTTTCAACAAATAAAATTTATTTTCTCAGTTTAGGAGGCTAGAAGTCTGAATTCAGGGCAGCAGCTCTAGGGGAAGGCTTTGTCTCTGTTGGCTTTGGGGGCAGGTCCTTATTCCTTGGCTCCTGGTGGTCTTCATCCACATGGCGTCTGTCCTCTGCCCTCTCTGCTCACCTATTTAATCTCTGTTATATCTCAAAAGAGATTGACTCAAGAACACCCTACACTAATCCTGTCTTATAAACACAACAAAGACAACTCATTTCCCAAATGGCATTTAGCCACAGGCATAGAGGTTGGGATTTACAATACATATTTTGGGGGGACACAGTTCAATCCATAACACCTTGAATGGACCTTGAATGGACTCTTCACTTTTATGAGCCTGTTTCTTCCTCTGAGAAATGAGGGTGCTAGATGAGACTCTTAGGCCATATCCAGCTCTGAAAATCTGGGGTTCTGTAACATTGACCCTATTCTCCAGGAGAAAAGGAAACAGATTTTGGAATGATGGGTGGGGTAAGCTGATAAGGGATCCTGTCTTATAGGAGATTGCCTCCTGTCCATCAAGCCCCAGGAGAAGTCAGAGGGACTTCAGCTTAATTTTCAACAGGTGAGGTAAAAGGTCTGCAAACTTAAGGGTTTGTAGCGTTGTAAGGGGACACCTAAGGCTACTGTTGTTGTTATGTGCTGTCGAGTCATAGCGACTCCTCCTTGGGTTTCCAAGGCAGTATCACTAAGGAAGTAGATTGCCCTATCTTCCTTCCGAGGAGTGGCTGGTGGGTTTGAACTGCTAGCCTTCTGGTTAGCAGTCAAGTGCCTTAGGCACTACGCTACCAGAGCTCCTCCTAAGGCTACTAAGAGAAGGCTTTCTGCTGCTTCTCAGGAAGATTCCTTGAACCATGATTGCTTTCTGCAAGAGGGGGAGGGTATATCTCTGTCCTAGAAAATGTGTTCATTTATATTAAGCTAAAGAAGAGTCGAGGCAAGGGAGTACTGGAATGGCTCATAAGAGAACCAAGGAAGAAAAGCAACAGGATTCATTTTTTATTTCTGGAGGTGGGAGTGGAATGGTAGGTGTGGCGTGAGGGGAGGCTAGAACATCTATGAGTTTCTTTTCTATCCCCAGAATGTGGACGATGCTATGACAGTGCTGCCTAAACTGGCTACAGGTCTGGATGTCAATGTGCGATTCACAGGCGTCTCTGATTTTGAGTATACACCTGAGTGCAGTGTCTTTGACTTGCTAGGCATACCTCTGTACCATGGCTGGCTTGTTGATCCACAGGTAAGGACAGGCGCACCCCAGTGAGACTTTTATCCTACTCAAGCTGACAGGAAAACCGAAAAACCAAACTCGCTGCCATTGAGTTGGAGCTGACTCATAGCAACCCCTCCTTGGGTTTCTGAGGTGGTATCACCACAGAAGTAGATTGCCCAAATTTTATGGAGTGATAATAGGGGTTGAGAGAGGACAGGGTTTAGTTGAGTGAAACTCAAATAAAAGGAAAGTATATGCAAATAAGTTCAGTTCTTTAGTCAACAGTTCAGGAACCTTTGGTTATAGGGTTGCAGTCCTGATGGGCTTGGTTCATTTGTTTTCTAAAAAGATCTCAGGTCTTTTGTACTACCCCACCCTGCCATCCCTACAGAGTCCTGAGGCTGTGAACGCGGTTGGGAAACTGAGTTACAATCAACTAGTGGAAAAAATCATCACTTGCAAGCACTCCAGTGACACCAACCTTGTGACAGAAGGTGATGTTCCTCCTTCCCAAGGAACTTACTCCCTTGTTATATGTGGAGGGAGGACCCTGGGTGGTGCAAATAGTTTGCACTTGAGCGCTAAGGATTGGCGGTTCAAACCCACTCAGTGGCACGACAGGAGATAAGCCTGGCCTGGCGACCTACTTCCTTAAAGATTACAGCTGATGATCATTTACGTGAGGTAGATACACTCCTTGGAGAGATCAGTCATGGGAGAATAGAAGGGCTGTGTATGCACAGGGAGACAGCTGGGGGGGGGGCGGTGGGCAGGAGTGCATGGGAGGGAAGAACACAGGGAAGAGGTAACTATGGGGAGGAAGTGGGAGGAGAGCTGTTGCATTGTGGGAGATTACAGTCAATGTCATGAGACAAAGTGTATGTGAGCTGCTATATGGAAGATGAATTTGCTCTGTAAACTTTCACCCAAATCACAATAAAATTAATAATAATAATAATTACAGCTGAGAAAACCCTATGGACTAGTTCTGCTTTGTAACACATGGTGTCACCATGAGTTGGAATCGACTTAACCACCATGGGTTTAGGTTTTTTGGTTTCTTTTCTTTTTTTTTTTTAATATATGGAGGGAATGATGGCTACTAAGGTTTATTACTTATTCTCTGCCTCCTCCCACTTCCTCCCACTCAGCTCAACAAGAGTAGGAAACCTATTTTGTTTACTGATGTATCCCTCCAGTGCCTAGTGCGGTAGCTGGCACGAGGCAGTATTGAATACGTATTTGTTGAATGAATTACTGCATCAGACTGCAAGGAAGGGACTTCAGAAGGTGAGATTGACCCCTTGGTGCTTTTGGACTTGAATTTAAGCCAGTTTTCCCCCATCTTGTGCCCTTATGGCAGGCCTGATTGCGGAGCAGTTCCTGGAGACCACCGCGGCACAGCTGACCTACCACGGACTGTGTGAGCTGACAGCAGCCGCCAAGGAGGGTGAACTTAGTGTATTTTTCCGAAACAACCACTTTAGCACTATGACTAAGCACAAGGTGATGAGGGTTTGGAGGTGAGGGGTTGGAGTGCTGTCAGTTCCTCATGTCTGTTTCTCTTGGCTCAGTGTTTTGATCAGGAGAGGCTAGATAAAGCTGTGGTAATAAATGACCCCTAAAATCTCAGTGGCTTCCCACAACGAAGGTTTATTTCTCACTCGTGCTGCATGTCCATTGTGGTTGGCTGCAGTTCTATTCCATAGCAAATTATTCCATAATTTCTTCACCCTGGGACGCAGGCTGACAGAACAGTCTTTATCTAGAATGTATGCGGGAAAAGAGAGACAGAGGGACACCATGCACTAGTCCTTAATGCTTCTGCCTAGAAGTGACCCTATCATTTCTGCCCAGTGGGGCAAAGCTTACCATCAGTGCAACAGGAAAGTGTAATCCACCCTCAAGAATTTAACAATATTACAGTCTTCCAAAAAAAAAAAAAAGAGGCCGGGTGGTACAGTGGTTAAAGCACCCAGCTGCTAACCAAAAGTTTGGCAATTCAAACACGCTAGCCACTCCATGGGGCAAAGATGTGGCTGTCTGCTTCTATAAAGATTACAAGCTAAATGAATTTGTTCTGTAAACTTTCACCCAAATCACAATAAAAATTTGAAAAAAAAAAAAAAAGATGACAAGCTCTGAAACGTTGTAGGGCAATTCTACTCTGTCCTATAGGGTCACTGTGAGTCAGAGTAGACTTGATGGCAGTGGGTATGGTTTGGTTTGGATAGTCTTCCAAAGTTAGAAATCACCTAAGCTCTCTAGGAATTGAGTAGAAGTCTTTGGTTCTCAAGGAGTTTGTCCTCATAGCCATCAGGCGAGCCTGGAGAGCCGTGGGAAGCAGAGTGGGAAGCAGGATCTCGTGTGGCTCCTCAGTCCCAAGGACTCTACAGTTGACCACAATGGCCGCCATACTCACACCCTACTGGACACACACTCAGACATCACTTCCATTTTCCCACAGCCACACACATTAAGAAAGATCCACAGATGCTCGCAGCGACACATTCCAGTTCATATACCAGTTGATTCAAATGGTCTCTGTGTGTCTCAGATGATTTCTGGTCAGAAATTGGCTCCGTGTCACCCACCCATCAATTAGCTGTGTTCTCTTCTTTGCAGAGTCACCTGTACCTACTGGTCACTGACCAGGGCTTTCTCCAGGAGGAGCAAGTGGTATGGGAAAGCCTGCACAACGTGGATGGAGACAGCTGCTTTTGTGACTCTGACTTCCACCTAAGTCATTCCCTGGTCAAGGGGCCTGGAGCAGAAGGTGGGAGTGACTCCCCAGAAAAGCAGCGGCAGGTAGACCAGGTGTGTGGGGGAGATGCAGAGCTTCCTTTGGCCAAGAACAACACCCCTCTTCTCATAGGCAAGCTGCATACATTTATCATCTAGAGACTATACTATATGACATCCTGCCCCTTTCACTCATCTGTTACCTTCGGGCCATCTCCTTGCTTGTTTTGTATTCTTGGGCACCATAGATAGACCATACAATACACTTGGGTGTGTGTTTTGCTCTGGATGGAGAAGGAGCTGGAGAATTTGAAGAATGAGGAAAGACGACAGATTAGGAAACTTGGCTTGAATATCCCTCTAGGCCTCTGCCTACTTCACAACTCTCATTTTCCCACCTTGCTCCCCCGCCCCTGCCCCAGGACTACCTGATTGCCTTGTCACTGCAGCAGCAGCAGCCACAAGGCACCTTGGCTCTTAGTGACTTGGAGCTGGCCCAGCAACTTCAGCAAGAGGAGTATCAGCAGCAAGCCGTCCAGCCTGTGCAGACACGAGCCTCATCACCACAGGTGAGCCTGCCCTACTGGGCTCGTCCCGTAGCAGTACTCCTCAGGCCTGCTCCTCATTCCCAGTGTTTCATCCCATGTTTCCCTGGTCCCGGACGCCTGTTGCTCCTACAGTTGTCTCATCAAGGTTCCTCAGGGCCCATCTCCTGTGTGTCCCTCTCCCCTGTTGCTCTTTACTGTCTTTCTCTCCCTACCACCACTCCCAATCCTGTTCTCTTCATCCTCCTTAAGGATCTCCATCCTCTTGCAGGGCTGATGGATAACCAATTATTAAATCCGATACAGGGGAGAGGAGCCACATCTGGACGCCCAGCCGGGGAGCGTAGGCAGAGGCCGAAGCAGGAGTCAGACTGTGTTCTCCTATAGCTCAGCCCCAACGCCAGGCTGACCTGCCCCTTCTTTCAGAAGCTTCTCACTGACTATATTGCTTGCTCGCTTACCTCAACCCCTGAAATATGTGGGGTAATTTATTTATGGACTGTTGGGGAGCAGAGCAGGTGGTAAATGGCAAGGTCAGACTTGGTCAAGTCCTTGCCCTCACGTGCTGCTATCTTTTCTTCCTCCCAACCATGCAGGGCAACACTGGGGTTGGTGGGGTGAGGATTTCTGATCCCCAACTCCCTTTCCCCAGAATAGTCACACTACTATGCAGACTCAGGCTCCAGGGTGAGGTCCCTGACTAGAATGCATTTCCCTTCCTTCCCATCCCTGACTAATGGGATCCTCCTGGCTATCCAGCAGGCCTGTCTCCGTTTGTTTCTGAATCTGATTTGGATTTCTATCTCCATTATTTGTAATGCCTTCCTAGGGGTTTGGAAATAAAACTTCTTCTTTCCTGAGATCTGTTTGCTTTTTTTTTTTTTTTTTGCTTTACACTGAGGAATGCAAAAGGAGCCTTGGTGGTGCAGTGGTGAAGTGCTGCTCACCCAAAGGTTTGCAGTTTGAACCCACCAGCTACTCCATGGGAGAAAGATGTGGCAGTCTGCTTCTGTAAAGTTTGTTGTTGTTGTTGTTTGCCGTCGAGTCGGCCCCGACTTATAGCGACCCCTCCTTGGGTTTCCGAGGCAGTATCACTACGGAAGTAGGATTGCCCAACCTTCCTTCTGAGGAGTGGCTGGTGGGTTTGAACCGCCAGCCTTCTGGTGAGCAGTCAAGTGCCTTAGCCACTATGCTACCAGAGCCTTGGAAATCCTATGAGGTAGTTCTACTTTGTTCTACAGGGTCACTGTGAGTCAAAATTGACTCGACCAAAAAAATAAATAAATAAAACAAACTCACTGCGGTCAAGTAGAATCCGACTCATAGAAACCCCTCCTTGGGTTTCCAAGGCAGTATCTCTATGGAAGTAGATTGCCCAATCTTCCTTCCAAGGAGTGGCTGGTGGGTTTGAACCACCAGTCTTATGGTTAGCAGTCAAATGCCTTAGGCAGTATGCCATCAGAGCTCCCTAATTGACTAAAAAGCATTTTTTTTTTTTTTGCTTTTGGAGGAATGTAATAAGGGTAGGTAGAGGTTGCCTGTCATTTCTAATAGAGTCAGCAGAGGGAGCCAAAGCCTGTTCTCCCCGTGGGGTGGGGAGGGGAGGCCAGGTGTTGTGGGTGGTTTTTTTTGTTTTGTTTTTGCTAGGCCATCTCTGGGAGGAAGCAGCTCTGGTGGTATAGTGGGTTAAGACATTTGGCTGCTAATGTGTAAGTCTGTGGTTAAAACCCATCAGCGGCTCTGCGGGAGGAAGATGAGGCAGTCTACTTCTGTAAAGATTTATAGCCTTGGAAACCCAACGGGGGTCACTATGAGTCAGAATCGACTTGATGGCAGTGGGTTTGGTTTTTTTGGTTTCCTATGCAAAAGTTTTCTGCCAATTTATCACACAGCGTTGCACTGCTGTTCATAAGATTGTCATGGCCAGTTTTTTCAGAAATGAACTGCTACGTCCTTCTTCTTAGTCTGGAAGCGCCACTGAAACCTGTCCCCATGGGTGACCCTGCTGTTATTTGAAACTCTGGTGGCACAGCCTCCAGCCTCATGGCAAAATGTAAGCTACCAAGCCACCATAGTATGACAAACTGACAGACAAGTCAAGGGTCAGGGATAAAGGGAAGACTCTCAATGAGATGGGTTGACCTAGTGGCTGCAATGATAGGCTCAAGCAACATTTATGAGGATGGTGCAGGACTGGACAGCATTTTGTTCTGTTGTACATAGTCAGTCGCTATGAGTCAAAACCAACTGGATGGCACCTAACTATGGGAAGGAGCCCCAGTGGTGCAGTGGATAAGTGCTCGAATACTAACTGAAAGGTTGGCAGTTCAAATCCACCAGCCCTGTCTGGGAAAGAAGGATGCAGTCTGCTTCCATAAAGATTTATAGCCTTGGAAACACTATGGGGGCAGTTCTACTCTGTTCTATAAGATTGCTATGAGTTGAAATTGACTCATTGACAATAGGTTTGGGTTTTTTTATTTCTATGGGAAATGTTGTGTGTGGCTGAGTTGATTCAAACTCATAATGACTCCATAGGACAAAGTAGAACTGCCCCATAGGGTTTCTAAGGCTTTACAAATACACATCACCAGGTCTTTTCTCCTGCAGAGCAGCTGGTAGGTTCAAACTGCTGACCTTTTGGTTAGCAGCCCAGCTCTTAACCATTGTGCCACCAGGGCTCCTTCTATGGGAAATATTCGTGCTCTAATTTGGGGGGGTGGGTTTCTAAGTCCCTGCTTTGAATAGATGAATCTGGGATTGTGCTGCCTGCTAACTCAGGTCTTCCCTGGCTGGGGAGGGCAGTCTGACCCTCAGCTTCCCAGTTCATATAGATTGCCCTTTGCTACTTTGGACCTCCCTCTCATTTTAATAGGAGCTCTGGTAGCATAGTGCCTAAGGCACTTGACTGCTAACTAGAAGGCTGGTGGTTCAAACCCACTAGCCACTCCTCAGAAGGAAGTTTGGGTAATCTACTTCCATCATGATACTGCCTTGGAAACCCAAGGAGGGGTCTCTATGAGTCGGGTCTGACTCGACGACACATAACAACAACAACTCGTTTTAATATTTATCCTCATTTCTGACTTGTTCTGCTGCCTGTTTCTCAATTATTTTGCCTGAAATTTCCTGGAGAAGAAATAATGGAGGTGGGGGAGGAGAAGTAAGGGAGGGGTATTGATAACTGCAGCACTGGGCCCAAAACAGGATTTCTTTTGAATACCCAAGTGCACATCAAAGGCACCTCCAACTCCAAGGCTCCCTCCCAGCCTGTGTCCTGCTCCACCCAAACTTCAATCAGGAAACACAAACTACAGTGACATTCACCAAAAGAATTCAAGTACCAATGAGATGTGCTGGCCTAAAAGGGTATGGGAAGGATGAGTAGGGCAGAAACCATCAAAGAGATTCCATTACCCCACACCCAAGACAGAGCCAGGTGCAGACATCACTTTGGGACGAGAGATTAAGGGACTTAAAAGACACTTGGAGTCCCAGCCTCAACAAGAAGCCAGGGGTCATGATGCTCAGGGAAGGGTTGTCCTGTTTGGAGGCCTAGGTGGTAGTCTGCAGGCTCAGCCAAACTCAGGAACCTCAGATTCTTGAGTGTCATGTGAAGGTGGGGGACAGGGAGGTCTCAAATGTCTTCAGCCCTGCATAGGCCTATTAGGGCTGGCTGGCAATCCCCTTTCACTACATCCTGCAGACAGAGGAGACAAGTGTTAGTTAGGAAGACCCATCACCCACCAATGGCCCAGTCACTCAGTCCCCTCCTTTGTCCTTGTTCATAACTTGCCTGGGGTGTGGGGGAAGGATCTTCCCTGATATCAGGAGCTCTGTGCTAAATTAATCAAGGACTTAAGAGTTCTCCAGGGCATAAAAATGCCCAGCACAAAAATGAGCTGCAGGAAGTGGGAGGTGAGGGAGATGGGAGATGAGGCTCTGGGGCTCCAGGACAAGACCTTGCCAAGTCTCACCTGGAGGGAAGAGTAAAGGGATTTCCCAAATTTCTTCTTGAACTCAGCTCGGATGCTTAGGAGGTCAGTCTCACTTCGAGAGATAAGGATGCGTATCAGATCTTGGTAATTGGGCTCAGTTTCCTGGCAAAGGAAGAAACGGAGGAGTGGTAGTTAGAAAGATTTTCACTGAGAGCAGGGATTGGATGGCTTGGTGAATTATTAGAGGAAGTGGAAGGGCTGTAGAAGTCAAAGAGAAGTATACATTATCTAAGGGAAAAGTTATCTCTGCAGTGCTCCTAGAAGATGAAGCAGGAGGCAAGATCTGTTCCCTGTGGGGAAAGCTAGCATGTTTCTCTTCTTCCTCCCACATGTGTCTTCTGACCCTGTCACTAACTTAGAGCCTCTCTCTTGCAGAGCTCAGAGGTGGGCAGTGCCAAAGACAGTTATGCCGAAAAGGCTAGAAAAGATTTGCCAGCATGAAAACCAGGAAGACTCTTTAACTTCCAAGTTAGTGAATATCCAAAGAGGATGCAATCACTCAAACTGAGCTGATGGCACTCTGCTAGGTATTAGAGCCATGTAACTTCTGGCTCTGATCCTGACCCACTAGGGCCATGTCATCTCCTATCTTTACATACCCGTTTCTTGTGGTTAGACCCTTGGGGTTCAACATCACTGCCTTCTTCCTGTACTTCCTGCCTTTTTGTTAAAATCATGGAAGTTTCAGTTTAGAAATAATAGAGGTACAATCAATTATAAACTCATAGTTTATTTTAATGAGTGATGTGTCATTATGAGAGATTTCTAAATAATATTCTACATAATCTATGTTTCCACATATCTCTCATAAAAGAATAGTACAGAAGCATCCTGACTTTTTCCTTTTTTTAAATTTTCAGATACATGGGCCTTTATATAATGGTTGCAGAAATCCCATTTGTGCCATGAAATGAGCACTGGTGCTGTCACCATTTCCTAGTATGGTCACTTGACTTATGAGACCCTTCCCAGCACTTCCTGTAACACACACTTATGGCATGCCCAAGGTCATAAACTCCCATGAAGAAACAAACAAACAAAATGATGAAGTGAAAACAGGATACTATATTTCATTTGCATTTGTTACCTAATTGTCAATAGACCTGATGGTTACTTAATTTTAAGTTTCACATAGCATCAGTTTTGTATTGTTACAGAGATTGCCCATTGGGCCCTAATATTCATTCTTCTCTTCTTCCAACTTGTGTTACATCAAAGTTATATAATTGGGGGATCACTCATTAACTGAATATACTCATTGGGGTATTTCTCATCTATACCAATTACAGGAGATTTATTTTCAAAGAATTTGAATATAATAAAGTACCTTCTACGCTAAAGCTAGGTCCTTGTTGTTGTTCTGTGCCGTCAAGTCAGATCCGACTCATAGTGACCCCTCCTTGGGTTTCCAAGGCAGTATCACTGCAGAAGTAGATTGCCCAACCTTCCTTCCAAAGAGTAGCTGGTGGATTTGAACTGCCAGCCTTCTGGCTAACAGTCAAGTGCCTTAGGCACTATGCTACAGCTAGGTGGTACAAATGGTTTGTGTATATTGCTAACCTAAAAATTGCCAATTCAAACCTACCCAGTGGCACTGAAGAAGAAAGGCCAGGTGATCTGCTTCTGTTAAGATTAAAGCCAGGAAAACTCTATGGAGGAGTTCTACTCTGTAACACAGGGTGTTACCATGAGTCGGATCAACTTAACAGCTAGCCACAACACATCAAAGCTATATTAAACATAATTCTATTTTTTTGATGCTTCAGAATGCCCTGGGCATCTCCTACTGCCCTAGGATCTTCATAATGAACATTCATTATATGGTTCACATCAGTCCAAATTTGTCCTGAGTCAGCCTTTGCTGAAGGTTATTTTTCTGAATAAAAACGCTACATAATCTATACTTTCCCATATCTCTCCTAAAAGAGTAATACAGAAGAATCCTGATTTTTCCCTTTTTAAATTTTCAGATAAATGGGCCTATATTATTATTATGACTCTTACTTCTAAAATAAATCTATGGTTTACATCCAAGAGTGTGGGTCCTATAATCCATATATATTACCACCATTTATTTCTTGGATACAAGTTTGTTTTTATGACAATTTTAGACAGATGACCGTAACTCTTCAAATGAATCTTAGTGTTGTTTCGTTATAATAGCACAGGCTTTATTGGGCAAGGACAATAACCTACTGTCAAGGTAGGAATCTCTGGAACATGTGCTTATATGTACTCCTTTCAATAGCTCTGGCCAAGGCATGATGGTTTCTCAGCCAGTAAACAGAAGGTTATTGCATCTGCCAAGACGAAAACTTTTATCTTCTTCAAATTGTGCATATTATCTAACTTGGTGCATTTTTTATGTTTAGGTTTGGGGGCAGTTCTGTTAGTAGGAGATCTAGTTCATGAACAGAACGACCGTATCCTGTTGGTGAAACTACTTAAACGAAGGTCAGCAATTTAAGTATGGATAATCTGGAACAAAGTCTGATCACAGCATAGAGAAAAGTGGCCCTGGGCATGAAGAGGACTTATGGTATAGCTGACAATGGGTTGACACATGGCAGTTAAATGTCCTATTGGACCATTATGTGTTTTCTAAGAAGACTCTATGAATTACTTGCTGTGTGCCCTTGGGCAAGGCACTTAACCTCTCTGTGCTTCAGTTTTTTCATTTATGAAAATGAGGGTCATATTGTTTACCTGCTGGTGTGTGGTTGTGAAGATTTATTGAAATGTGTGTAACATGCCCAGCACAGGCCCTGGCACACGATGATGAATGAGCACCTAAGAAATGCTGGCTCTTGTCATTTCTTCCTTTTTCTTTAAGGTGTTTTTTTTTTTTTTTTTAACATTTCATTGTGGTTTGTGTGATACTTTATAGAGCAAATTAGTTTTCCATTCAACAATTTTGTTTCATGTCATTAGTTGCAATCCCCTTATGTAACAGCATTCTTCCCACCTTCTCCCTGGGAGACATTTCCTGTTTCCTTCACCCGTCTTTCCTGCCCCTTCTTGCCTTCTGAACTTTGTTTTTGGGCAAATGCTGCCCCGTTGGTTTGATAAGGTTGATTGTTCTGAAGAGCACGTTCTTCATGGGTGTTATTGTTAACTTTATAGTTCTGTCTATTGTGTGACTGAAAGATAATCTCCAGAGTGGATGTCATTTAGTCTTACTACTGTTATTATTCTGGCAACAACTGAAACTAGAGAAGACACTGCTTACAGAGCACCTTCATATCTACATTTGACCACCAGGCCATTAATGGGGCCAAATTAGGTTTAGTGCCTGTATCAGTCCACTCAAATAGCTCTAACATAGCTCCCAGATATGCCAGTTGACAAGGTAGTCTATAAACCCAGGAAAAGAGAACTACTGTATGCTTGCAAACAATACATGAGATGGTTACATTAATAGCAACCTGGAACATCCTCTCTTTTACCCAAGAGTGTCTTTCCCCATCAAGTATTTGTTACAAAGGGAGTAGGAAGGGATGTCCCTCTCACCTGGAGGGCTTGGTGAAGTTTGTCAGCAAAGTACAGTGGTGTGTTCCTGATCACCGAGGCTGGAAGGAAAGAGGGAAAGATGGAGAGAAGTAGCTAGGGCCACAACTTGCCACCCAGGAGAGACTCCTACCCCAATTTCCTGAGCAGGCCCCTACCTAGGCTGAGCAGAGCCACCTGGGCATCTCCATGGAAATGGTTCTGAACAGCTTCCTCCAACTCTTGCCCAGTGTACCGCTGATACTGATCAAACACTTTGTAGTATGTGTAGGAGGTGGAAAGATAAATTACAGGGGAGGGTTAATTATCACACAGAAGGATGAGCCCTCCCCACCTGACTCAGCCAAAACTCATCATTAGAGCAAGCTAGGGGACAAGAAGGCTTATGTGTACCTCGGACCAGGTGTTCACAACTTCTCTGGGTGAGAATTAGGACCCATGTCCCCTCTCTGCTAGGTGCTTCAGCCTGCTGTAATGCCTGAGAGGACAGAGTGAATCAGTAAAGAGGAAGGACAGCTCTCTCAGGGCAGGGTCCCACTCAGTTGATACCTGGGGAAAATCTTGATGAATCCCTGGCTCACAGTGTGGGTTCTTCCAACCAACCTGGCCCTGGCACTTACACAGGAAGAGGGAGCTCTGATGTTGGGTCCTGTGCTGTTAGTCAGGAGCCTCAGAACTCTGTCCCGGTCAGGAACCCTGATTTGCTCCTTAGCCACCTCTTCTGACTTGTGGCGCCATGATGACCAAACCGCTCTGCCCTACTGCCCTTTCCTCCATCAAACCTTGATGTTTCTCTCAGGTTAACTCCTTACATGAAGCAGAGGGATTGGAGTGATAGGACACAGGCAGCCTTCGCTAGAGATGAGGATGACACTGAAGTTAATATCATGTAGACTTGGGGATTTGGGGGTGGGAGGGTCCTGTCCTAACCCCCAAAAAACAAACTCACTGCCACCCAGTCAATTCCAATTCCAACTCATAGCAACCCCCCACTGGGTTTCCAAGGCTGTAAATTTTTATGGGAGCAGATTGCCTCATTTCTTTTCCAGAGAGCAGCTGGTGGGTTCAATCCACTGACCTTTAGTTAACAGCCAAATACCTTAACCACTACACCACCAGAGCTCCTTAACCCAGTAGGCATGAAAGACAATGGTTTATTTTTTTCTCCAAATTCCTAGTTCTGCCAAATTCCTCCCCAAACCATAGCTGGGGGATGTTTGATTCACAAGCATCATTTGGTCAGATCATCGGTTGGGAGCTGAGGAGCCATGGTTATGTTCTCAGAATCCATCATTACAACAATGACATGGAATTAAAAAGTAGAGAAAGTTTTTTGAATTTGTAAATTAGTTGTTTTCATTTATAGTTTTTTTTTAAAAAAAACAAGGAAAGGGGCTGAAAGAGGGTTTTTGCCCTAACAGATCTATTCCCCAATTTGGAAAAGTCCTTACACCCAAGGAGTTGGATAATCTTCTAAGGAAGGCCTGGAGATGGCTTCTCCACCCAATTGCCATGAGAGGAGAATTTGTCAGTTGATGAATTCACTTCCTGTGAATTCAGGAATCAGAGGCTAGATGAGTGAAAAAGCTTCAGGTATGTCATTACCTGACACCCCCATCCCTATCACTGAGGACTCCTTCCACAGACAGGTTAGCAGGACAAACAGGTACATAGCCTCTGAGATATGACAGGGGAGGGTGTCTTATGCATGGTTGTGCAAACTCCCTAACCCTCTGCTCACCTGAACATCCTGTTCCTCCAGGTTGTAATCAATGATCCCAGAATAGCTCTCACGACCCCCCTAAGAGGAGAAACTGTTCTCAGGACTCTTTGAGGGACAGCTTTTGATAAATATCCAGGCCAACAAAAAAAACCCTAAGCCCTCCCTTGTCCATTATACCACAGCAATTGTCTCTACTGGTGAGTGTAGCTCCCTTCCCTTAGAGGCCCATCCTCCTTACCTTGGCTAACGCTAGGAGCAGGTCCCGCAAGATGCCACTGGTCTTAGATTTGATGTCCTCCTCAGCCTCCACCTGGAAATCTGGGGTGGGGTCAAGAGTTCTCTGAATCTTCCTGATTTTTCCCAAGGTGGATACCTCAACTGCCTGATCTACTATGCCCTGCTATCTCTGCCATCTCCTGCTTAGAGTAGCTTGGTGGCTGCTTCTTCCCAGGTGTAGGGTAGAAGCACCATCATGGCCACCCCTGAAAACATCTCTAAGTTGAGAGTAACCCATGCACCATGAGGATCAGGGTGGTTGGCCTCATCTCAAAGTAACTTGCTACAGGCAGGAGGTATCTCCTATTGAAGTGGAGGCCAGGAAGTAAAGAGAGGATGTTGTTGTTGTTATGTGCCGTGGAGTTGGATCCGACTCATAGCGACCCCTCCTTGGGTTTCCAAAGCGACATCACTATGGAAGTAGATTGCTCAACCTTCCTTCCGAGGAGTGGCTGGTGGGTTTGAACCACCAGCCGTCTGGTTAGCTGTCAAGTGCCTTAGGCAGTACACTACCAGAGCTCCCTCCCAAAGAGAGGATGGGGAAGCCCATATTATGAAGCAAGATGGCTAGAGCCAAGCCCCTCATTGGAGGAGAGGAAAAATGATGTGAGAGGTAGGACATGAAGGGAAAGAGCAGGAAAGTAAGGGAAAAGAGAAAAACAGAAGCAAGAAGAGAGAAGTAGGAGTGAGATTAAGAAAACAGGCCAAATAGGAGTTGAACATTTATGTGAAGTAGATACACTCCTTGGAGAGAACAATCATGGGAGAAAGAAGGGCTGCTTATGCACAGGGGGACAGCTCAGGGGGCAGGAGTGCATGGAGGGATGGACACAGGGAAGAGACAACTATCAGGAGGACGTGGGAGGGGAGCTATTGCATTGTGGTAAATTGTGGTCAATGTCATGAGACAAAGCGTATGTGACTGCTGTAGGGAAAGGGAATTTGCTCTGTAAATTTTCACCCAAATCACAATTAAAAAAAAAAATGAAATAAAATACACTGGAACAGAGAAAAACAAAAAAAGAAAAGAAAACAGGACAAGATTAGACACCAAAGGAAAATTGGGGAAGGAAGAAAAGGGGTGATGGTGCTAAAATGTGAATGAGGAAAATCTAGTTATAAATGGGTGAGTGAGGCATTTGGCAGCTAGGCAGGGCCAGCAGGCAGAGGTCTGAGAGGTGACACCTATGACTTAGACAGCAGGTCCCCACCTTTTCCCCAGGCTGCAGTGAGGCTCCTTTCAGCCTGGTTTATGGTGTGATGGCAGGAAGAGCAAGGGGCTGGGAGGGAGACATAAGTACCCTTGGGACTGTCACAGAGCCCTACATTGTCATTACTTTGGAATCTGCCCTGGAGCCCCAGACTACACTGGTTAATCATTGCCTCTCTTTCCTTAATAATCACATCTGTTGTCTCCCCTGGGGAGACTGAGGCACTAGTTGGGGAGAAGGGAGAGACCCCAAGGGAACAAAATTTGGGCAGATAGGTTCCCAGGTGGCTTGTCTTATAGGGAGTGTGGCAAAGGAGTAGGACTGTCTGATGGGTTCCATTTCAGCTCTTGGAGGTCCTTGCCTACATGCTTTACCATGTTTGTAGACTGCCAGGCACTCCTGCAGCCGGGGTGGAGCTCGGGTGGCGAGAATCTCCACAGCCACATCCTCAGGAGTACCTGAGCCCTGCAAGAAATTGGAAGGCTCTGTGTCATTAGGATGGCAGATGTAGGGGCAGAGAGCAGATGCTGACCACTTCTCAGGGGCACGGGCCAGACCCTTTGAGCCAATATGGGATGAGTTAGCAGAGTGGACAAAGGGAAGCAGTCAGCCCTCTCTCCTTTCCTCAGTGGTATCCTCAGACATCCCAGAAAGTATCTTCTCCTGGTACCTTCAGAGCTGTCCTTAGTTCTTGGGCGTCGAATTGGGCTGCTGGCTGCATCAGAGCCACCACAATCCTCTCAAGGTTGCCAGACAGTGCTGCCTGCAGGGACTTCAGTAGGTCCTACAATAAACGGTCTCCATAGCAGAGATGTAGGTGAGGGGGAAGTATGTGGTTTCAGAAGATTTAGGTGCTTCTTGTTATCTTTGGCCAGTTTTCACCTCAGGCCTAAAGCACCAGCCCTGTTCAGCCAGGGGATAAGGGCTGGCCTCAGCTGTGGTTGCTATAATCCAAGTCCTCTAGGGAGCTTCTCATCCCTGAGAAATCAAAGCCTCACCTGCTGGGTACGCTCCTGGAAGGCTCTGGAGACCAGTTGCCTTTGCTCTCTGCTCCGACTGGTCAGCACATCCACAATGGTGGTGCGGTCCACGCCTGAACCAAGATTGGGGCTGGGCTATAAGCTGATCATAGCCCAACAAGGGTCCTTACAGGGCTGGAATCCCCTACTCCACTGACTGGGAGCCTCCAGAGAAGGAGGGAACAAGGTCTGGGAAAGGGCCAAGAAAGGAAGGATCAGGGGCTACCTCAACCCCCTCTTCCATTTGATCTCAAAAACAAAACAATCTCACTGCCATCAAGTCGATTCTGACTCACAATGACCCCCTTTGGTTTTCTGAGGCGGAAAATCTTTACGGAAGTAGATCGCCCAGTCTTCCTTCTGCAGAACGGCTTGTGGGTTTGAACTGCCAACCTTCTGGTTAGCACTCAAATGCTTTAGGCACTACATCACCAGAGCTCCAAAGAAGATGCAAATAAGAAGCCAAAATAATAGGTAAATTGGACCCAAATTTAAGCAAAGATGGCCTGGTGTGGTAGGAACATGTGGCTTGCAGGGATTGGCAGACTTGGATTAGAATCCCAGCACAGCCATTATGAGCTGTGTGACCATGAGCAAGCCTCTTAACCTCACTGAGCCCTAGTTTCCTCACCTGTAAGATGGAAATAAGTGTTATTGACTCACCTCACTAGGGTATTGTGAGAATTCTAAGACACACCTACCATAATACTTGACATACAGGAATTAAGACATTCAACAAACATTTGTTGAGCATTGGTTAGTTCTTCCTCCCTGACTCCTTCTTGGCCTATAGATCTGTTTCTAATAGGTAATCCCCAAGGGAAACAGGGGGAGGGACTCACCTTGTCCTGCAATGGCCCTCAGCAGCCTCTGTACATCCTTGTCCACACTGAAACTCAGGAAGGTCCTGAGAGTACCCAGAGTGCCCCAAGCTGCAGTCTGTAATAGTATAGAGTGATTGGGAGGAAGTGAGGGCACCACTACTCTCCCCACGCCCCTCCCCTGTGCTTCAGTGTAGCCTCTGGGCCTGCCCTCCCCCCCTCCTTATTTCCCCACCCTCTCACAGCCCTTGAGTTGATTAAAAAATATATATTCCTAAAATCCCAATAGCTCCTTACCTTATTGGCAAGACCCAGGTAGCCAAGGATTTCCTGGGTCAGGGATGGCCCTGTCTTCCCTGTGGTCACAGACATGGTACAACTGGCTGCCCTGGGAAAGGAAACAGAAGCTGGCTGAGGTGAATTTCCCAGCCCTGTGGGGCTTCTTTATGACCCCCCAGACCCTGGAGCCTGGGCCACCTTTTCGTGCTCATTTCCCCTATTGTAGGGATGAGGGGTGAGAGGCAGAATCAACCTGCTTGGCAAGTTTGGGAAACAGAGCTGGGGCTAACGTGGAAGGGTAAGAGGAAAGCCCCCACATTCCTCATCTCTCACCCTCTCCTTCAGTTGCCCAGGATGCTGCTAGAACTAACACCCACCAAACCCTCCCCAACTCCAGGGTTGGTCCCAAGGCTCCCCACCCTTCGCCTGAGATGGATGCCCTCCTTCTGTGGTCTGAGTCATCCCTTCCTTCCATGGCCTGCCTGAGATCTCAGCTGAAGGGATCCTGGAGCAGAGTAGAGGAGTTGTGAAGCGGGAAGGTTAGTGGGGCAGGAGGTGGATAATAATTCCTAACACTACTTTTCCCCGCCTGCAACCCCAGCCTACAACGAAACCCCCAGAACTTTCCCACAAAAATTCTTACCTGCTGTCTGCCTTTCGCCTTTGGAGTCTCAGGCTAGAATCTTTAGGTTAGTAGGTACAGTCTCTGAGCTGATGTATGTGTTCTTCTAAGTACATGAGTACCTGGTTGAGGGAGTAGTAGGCACTCGTGTTGGAAAAAGAAAACTCACTCTTCCCTCCCCCAAGCTATCAACAAGTCTGTCCCTCCCCTCTACACACATATAAGAGCCCAGGTCCAGCACTTACCCAGAGGTGCTGGGACAAGGTGGCCGCTGTCACACCTGGTGGTGTAGCTATGTGGGCACCAGCTCCTGTGTGGCCTGGTGGAGAAGAAGGGGTGTGTGCAGCCCAGGCGGAGCAGCCAGTCAGATGACCTCTCTTGCAGACCAGCCCAGCTGTAGTCTCCAGCTCTGGCCCCTCCCAGACGTGGGAGAGGACCAGGCTGTACTGGGGCCCACATACAAACACCTCCCGTCCAGCATCTCTCCTCCTAGGAACTGGGCTTCAACCCACTCCAGTGAACTTGGCTTGACCTCACATCAGCTCAGCCCTGGACACAGAAGGCTTTGTGCATTGCTTCCCCTGTGGGGCCAGGTGGGACCACAGAGGCCCAGTCTCTTAAGTTCAGCTTCTGACCTGGCTCTGCCTCAGGCTCCAGCTCCCTGGGGGGCAGGTCAGACAGGCTCCCAGCTGACTTCCAGGCTGATAGAGAAAAACCTGTCAGGGCACATACCAGCAGGGCACCCCAGCCTGCACCCCAGAGGGGGTCCCAGCCCAGAAACTCCCTTGAAGACTACCTTATTAGAATCAGCCAGCATGGGTGGGGAAGGCTCGGGAACTGTTTACATGAGTTGAGTAGGTTAGGAAGAGCACAGGCGTTTGAGGGTGACAGCAGATCAGCAGAGTCAAGAGAGAAAAATGCAAAGATATTTCCTGAGGAGGGAAGCACCTGCTTCCAAAAGGTGACAAGAAGATGGGGGAGACTCCTTGAGCCCTGGTTTCTTAGATTCCTTCTGTTTTCTTTTGGCTGCCAGGGCTGTTTAAGTGACAAGTGATGCAACTCCAGCAGCTGGGCTTTAGGCTATCAGTACAGAGAGCAGCAGGTGAACAGTCCCAGGGAGCTTCATGGGTCTCTGAGGAGTTGCTCAAACCTCACAGCTGGCTCCGTTGGGTCTGAGACAGTCTTTTTTTCTGCTTCCTTGGAGGGCTCAGGTAGAGGCTGGGCACAGAAGCTAGAAAACTGTCTTCGCTTTTGGCCACTCTCCAAACCCAGTGTTCTGGTTACCTAGTGCTGCTCTGACAAGAATATACCACAAATGGTAAGGCCTTAACAAACAAGAGTTTATTCTCTTACAGTTCTGGAGGCTAAAAGTTCGGAGTGCCAGCTCTAGGGGCTGTGTGAAAGTCCCTTGACCTTGGGCTTCAGCTCTGCCTCTTGCTGCTGTTCCCCTGAAGCTAGAGGCATCTCTTCACTCAGGCAGCTACTGGCTGCTGAAGCTAACAAGCCCAAGGTCGACAAATAAAATGGCACAGTCTCGATGTTACCAAACCACACAGCAGGCTATAAATTCAAGTCCATTGTAAGTACCAAGGTCCACAGAGCATGGCAGGCTGCTGAACAATGGCTACATGCAGTGTTCAAGGTGCCATAAGCTAGAGACCATTCCCAAAGCTGTTTCTTATATACAGGAAGCAGACCACATACCCAAAGCAGCTACTCAGCTGCTTGTGGTAGATCCCACCATGGAATTGATTGCCAGTTTCATCATGGGGAATACTACATCCAGGTGCCCAGCCACTCAACCAGGCGCAGCCAAGTTGACATACAAACATAACCACCACACCCAGGAAGCCCTCACCAGTTTTCTTATATTCCGAGAGGAAGAGACTGCAATGTTTCCACAGAGCAGATCAGGCCTGGGGAGAAGGCCATGAAGGGAGAGTAACGTGGTGTCAATCACTGTGCCTCACTGCTCTTTCCCATTAAAGTGGAAAATGTGTACGGATTTTAGAATCAGAGAACTTGGGTTCAATCCTCAGCTCTGCCACTTGTTATATTCTGTGACCTTGGAAAGTCACTTCCTCTCTTTGTATCTCAGTTTCTTCACCTGAAAAAATGGGAGTATTGGCAGAATACTGAGGTGGGGGCAGAGACATGGGCATGTGGGTTTCCTGGGAGGATTAAATGAGTTAACATGTGTGATGTCGCTTAGCTAAGAAAAGTGTCTTGTAAATTAAGACTGCCAGATTTAGTAAATCGAAATATAAGACCCCAAGTTAAAGTAGAATTTCTAATAAATACCAATTTGTTGGTGTAAGTATAGCATAAATATTGTATGGGACATACTTATGCTAACAAATTATTTGTTGTTTATCTGAAATTCTAATTTAACTGGGGTCCTATATTTTACGGGGCAACTGGAAAATGAGGTTCATTTTCATCATGGTGGTTAAAAGCAAAGATTCTGCTGTGTTAAAATGTTGGTCTGTTGTGTGACTTTGGGGCATTAGCTTAACCTCTCTGTGCTCAGTTCCTCATTGTCAAAAAGGAGGTTTGTTGTGAGAATTAAATAAATCAGTAAGTATGAAACACTTAGAAGAGTGCTGAATATATAGAGTAAGTACACATGGTCAAAATGTTAGCTAATCCATCATAATAAATATTGTTATAGTAATCTTTTACAATGGTAATTGTTATTATTACTGTTCCTTATGGCTAAATCCAACCTTGGCTCCCTTCCAAAGCTTCTTTCTTGCCAATCCCCAAACTAGCCACAAGAGGGCATGGGCAGCCTCTGAGTGGCTCCAGTCCCTAGCAGCCACTTGAGGTCTCTGAGCTTCTGGCTCCACCCCCAGATATCCAGGGGCCAGTCTTTTCCCCCACTTGTTCGGAGATGCATTCTCCTCAGGACGGAAGGCTCCTTCCTGGGTGGACTTGGTGGGCTGATAGGGTCTGGAAAGAGCCTCAGGTAAACATCTATTCAAGGAATCCAGTTGATACAGATCTCAGGACACATGTAGGAGACTTCCTAAGCTGGGTTACTGTAGGACAGCAGCTCCACAGCCCAGGGTTCTGTGCCCTTCAGAGTCTCTTCTTGCCACATGTGCCAAGCAGGTTTAGCCAGGGGTGTGGGGGTGGGGAGAAGGAAGGGCAAGGGCCCTTGTTTCCCTAGTCCCAACTTCTCCAAAGGACTCCTGGCAGACCTACAAGATTAACTCTGAATTCAAAGAAGGTAGACAGAACCCCAGTCATAAGATAGAAGCATGTTGTTGTTATGTGCTATCGAGAAGCATAGCATTTATAATTGCTTCACTGGAATTTAGTGGAGTTTTACTCCTTTTATTATTATTATTATTGTTTTTTCAGCTCCAGGGCCAGAATGAGGTTATTTTCAGATTTGCTAACACCTCCCAGGCTCTAAATGAGAAGATCTAGTAGTTGGAGATCTTAGAGACAGCCTGTTTACTAGTGTGCCCTCTCTTTACTGACTCAAGGAGACTAAGTGACTTCCCAAGACCAGAATCCAGGTTTCCTAACTCCTCAGGGTTTTGTTCATTCAGATAAGGCATGGCTGATTTGGGATCCCTCTGGGTGGCATACAGTGGCGTTTTGTTAGGTGTCATTGAGTTGGTTCTGATTTTACATGCAACAGAACAAAACACTGCCCAGGCCTGCACCATCTCACAGTTGTTGCTGTGTTTGAGCACATTGTTGCAGCCACCATGTCAGTTCATCTCCTTGAGGGTCTTCCTCTTTTTCATTGACCCTCTGCTTTTCCAAGCATGGTATCCTTCTCCAGGGACTGGTCCCTCCTGATAACATGTCCAAACTACGTAAGATGAAGTCTCACCATCCTCCGGTCTGAGGAGCATTCTGGTTGTACTTCTTCCAAGACAGATTTGTTTGTTCTTCTGGACAAAAAATCCAAACCTATGCCATGGAGTCAATTCCAACTCATAGCCATGGTGTAGAACTGCCTCATAGGGTTTTCAAGCCTGTAAATCTTCACAGTAGCAGACTGCCTCATCTTTCTTCCCTGCAGCAGCTGGTAGTTTCAAATTGCCAATCTTTTGATTAGCAGCAGAATGCTTTAACCATTGTGCCACCAGAGCTCCTTGTTCTTCTGGCAGTCCATGATATATTCAATATTCTTTGCCAACACCATAATTCAAATGCATCAGTTCTGTCTTCTTTATTCATTGTCTAGCTTTTGCATGCATATGAGGCAATTGAAAATACCATGGCTTGGGTCAGGTGTACCTTAGACTTCAAAAGGACATCTTTGCTTTTTAACACTTGAAAGAGGTCTTCTGCAATGGATTTGCCCAACGCAATACATCATTTGATTCCTTGACTGCTGCTTCCACGGGTGTTGATTGTGGATCCAGGTAAAAGGAAATCCTTGACAACTTCAGTCTTTTTTTTTTTCCCCCATTTATTATGATGTTGCTTATTAGTCCAGGTGTGAAAA